GCTTCGGACTTGGGGATGTCGGCAGTTGCAGCCGTTGGCCGGGAGATTGAAGCAGTAACACTTCACCGGCAGCTCGCTCCGCTCGGAGGGTCGTCTCAGTCTCTCTCTGTGTCAGTGTTCGTCCCAGGGCAGCCGCTTCCCAGAGCAGTGTTTTTGACTGGGTCTCGAGGCAGCCAAACCTCTTCCGCCCATCCCTGCTCTGGGAACTAGTGTTAGGACCTGCCTTCACCTTCCTGGCAAAATAAGATATTCCTTCCCAGCCCCTCTCCAGGAGTGGTGAGTGTTGAACTGGTCGTTTTTATTAAAGATTTATTTATTTATTTGAGAGAGGCAGAGAGAGAGAGAGAGAGAGAGAGGTCTTCCATCCGATGCTTCACTCCACAAATGGCCGCAATGGCCAGAGCTGCGCTGATCCGGAGCCAGGAGCTTCCTCCTGGTCTCCCATGCAGGTGCAGGGCCCCAAGGACTCGGGCCATCTTCTACTGCTTTCCCAGGCCACAGCAGGGAGCTGGATTGGAAGTGGAGCAGCCAGGACCTGAACAGGCACCCATATAGGATGCTGGCACTGCAGGCGTAGCTTTACCCACTGTGCCCCAGCGCCAGCCCCTCTCGCTCTGTTTCTCTCTCTCTCTCTCATTTGGTCTTATTCAGCCTTTCCATTAAAGTAAATTTTGAAAAAGAAAAACTGAGTGAAATCCGTTTTGCTCCAGATCCTTGACAAGTGCTGGGGAATCAGCGTGTCAGGTCGCGTTTGCAGGGTTCTCCACGCATTGCTGTTTGCTGAGCTGAATGACCTAGGGACAGGTGGGGGCCGTGTCGGCAGTGGGGCTGTCGCTGTCCCGCCTGTACGGTTCTGGAAGTGAGTTACAGCAAGCGGGTTTGTGTCACCGGGAGAAAGGTGGCCGGGTTGTTGGTGAGCAGGTTTGGTTTTGTGTATGCTGGCAATGGCTCCGGGAGAGAATCAGGCAGCCGGTGCCCTGCTGGGTTCCTGGCCCTGGGCCGGGGCCCATCTGCCTGCTCGGTGGAGCTGCCGCAGGGCCAGGCCTTGCACGGTGATTACACGCACCTCTGCAGAGTGCGACACGCAGAGTTCTCAGAGGCTGGGGCAGGGGGGACCGCACTCCCCGCACGCCCCGTTCCATCCTGCCGTCTCCGCCCACCGTTGTGGTGCAGTGAACCCTGAGTCTGGTTGCCGGAGCCGCGGTGCTGTCCGATGTCCCCCAAGGACTGGTGTCAGAGGTGGACGTCTGTGGTGTGCTGGACCCTTTGACAGAGGGACAGGTGGCTTTCCCGAACCTCTGGCCGCCGCGGTGTTACATAGTTTCTCATCTGAGGGACAGCAGTGTGCGCGATGCTGAGACACAAGCACACGTAAACATGGTCCCGGAAAATGCAGTTGGGGCTGGAGTGCCGGCGGGCAGTGATGCCGCCACCTGCAACCCCATGGGCGCCGGTTCGAGTCCCGGCCGCTCCACTTCCCATCCAGCTCCCTGCTGGTGCACCTGGCAAGAGCTCGGGGCCCCTGCGCCACAGGGGAGACGGGAGGAAGTTCCTGGCTGTGGCCTGCCTGTTGTGATTCCTTCCTGTAGCTCTGCCTTTCGGATCAACAAACAAATCCTGAGAGACAGAGAAAGGGGAGGAGAGAGGATGGAGTTAAAAGTTCATTTCACTGTAAAAAAAATTCTGACATCCATGCCTCAGTACTGTCCTGCTGCCTGTTTGCCATGGACCATGCATTGATTGCAAAACAATTTTTGTACCAAAATAAACTCATCTTCCAATTTTATTCCCCCCCCTAACTTTTTAAAGTGCTGTTGCGTAAATGGAACCGTCCGTGTCCACTCGTGTGGTTAAAACTCAAGCCACGGGCAGCCTTGGATGGAGACGGGAGGGTGCCGTGTGGTTAGCGAGCCCGTGTGCCCCGGCTGCTCCGCTGCCGGCCGCGGGACAGCCTGCAGAACTGTGCTTGCTCTCAGGTGTTCGGGGGGAAGGACGATTGGATTAGAGCACGATTTGGCCCCGTCCCTCGGAGTGGCTCACGGCGTCTGTCTAGACCCATCAGGACCCCCAACAGCGTCTCTGTCTAGACCCATCAGGACCCCCAACAGCGTCTCTGTCTAGACCCATCAGGACCTCCAGGTCGGGCTGCAGTGCCGCTCCTGCCACCCTGGCCCCCGGGGGTCCTCGCTAGGACTCCCCCAGAGTGAGGTCACTGCCTGCAGGCCACGTCCTCGCGCCCCCTTCCCGTCATCTGGGGGAGTCCCCAGGGGTTTGCCAAAGACATTCCCAGGTTGAAGCTCCGTCTTTCCGGTGGAGACCACAGAAGGCGTCCAGATCTCGTCCCCGGCGTCTGCGACTGCCAGCCGCGGGCGGCTGTGGCCGTTCTGGACTTTTTAGAATATTTTCTCTAAATTCTGCAAGTCTGACTCATCCGGAGCAAAACAAAACAAAGCAGGGCTCAGCACAGGTCTGCCCCGGGTGAGGCCGCCGTCCCAGGCACCTCCCTGCATTCTAAGACCGGGTGTGTGTGTGTGTGTGTGTGTGTGTGTCCGGGGTGTGTGTCGGGTGTGTGTGTGTGTGTGTGTCTGGGGTGTGTATGTATGTGTGTGTGTGTCCGGGGTGTTTGTCTCCGTTGAGTTAGGAGAAACCGCTCAGCCTCGGCCCTGGTTTAGAATGGAAACCCTGCCCCTCCGAGACCCCGGATGGGGAAGTGGGGGCGGGGGGCCTGCCTGGCCGTCAGCAGGTGAACCTCTGAGACACCTGCCACCCAGCAGGGCCTCGGGATGCGCCTCTGCAAGTGCTTGTGACGTCTTTCCTTCCCTGCATCTGTAGTCGTGAGTAACCGACGCGCCGCCAGCGTTAGAGGACTCTCCCATCGCGGTGGAAAAACAGACAGCCGCTCTCCCCATGGCAGCGTCTCGGCCCGAGGGCCAGCCGTCCTGGCGGTGTGTGAGTCCCCCGGTGCAGCCACAGCGAGCGCGTGCCTGTGGACGCGGTGGGCCTCGCCGGGCGACGTCCCGGGCCGAGAGCAGGCTGCCTGAGCAGGCCGTGCCCGCGGGAGCGCTGCCCGGTTGGTTTTCTGCTCGGCTGCCCTCCAGGCTGGAGCCGTGCGCCTTCTGCCTGACTCAGCTCTCCCACGGTTTAGGTCTGGCGGTCCTGAGCCGGGTCACAGGATCGCGGCGCATAAACAGGAAGAAGGCGATGGCGGGGATTCCGGGAAGTGGGAGGAAGGGGACCCCAGCCGCAGCCGCTTCCGAGCCGGGGGTGCCGGGGGTGCCGCGGTGCCGGCTCTGAGACTCTCTGGGGGAGGTTGGCGAGTGAAACGGAGAACGGCTTCTGTCAGGGACAGGGGAGCCAGATTCGAACTCACAGCCAAAACGATTTTATTCAAGAAGAAAAATAAACCACAGAGGTGGCCGACTGCTGGCTGGGTCTTGTGTACCCGGGGTGGGCCAAGGGTCGGCGCGGAGGGCAGTGGGGGGAGCCGAGGGAGGGGTGGGGCAGAGCTGGGCTCTGGGAAGGAGGCAGGGGTGAAGGGGTCAAGAGGATTTCACCTGCTTTCGGGCGAGGAGCTACCGTGGCCCAGGCCCGTGTCCTGGTTCTGCCGGCTGAGACGCGTGGGGGCTGGTGGGGCTTTCCCTGGGTTTCTGTGTGTCCAGAACAACTCAGTAAATGCAGAAGCTGTGGGTAATCCTAACGGGTCGGAGAGTCTGGGGTTGGACGCGTTGGAGGAACAGATGGGGTGTGGGGGCTGGGCAGGCCAAAGGGTGTGCGTGTGTGTGTGTGTGTGTGTGTCCAAAGGAGGTGGAGTTTTGAAGGTAGCTGGGGATTTTAATATTTTGGAGACTGGCCAAAGAGACCGAGCCGTGGACACCAGCAGGGGCGGAAGCCGAAGCAGATGGCCAGGGAGGGAGTTGCGGGGCCGCCGGCAGAGCCCGCGGGGCCACGAACAGGGGCTCCAACGCACCAGACCCTGCCCAGACCCTGCCGGCCCTGCGGGGTCCCCGCCCGGGGTGGGGTGCCAATCCCGCCACCTGCAGGAGCCCGCAAGGCGGAAAACCGGGTCAGGTCACCTGGGGAGTGGGCCGAGCCAGCGTCTGGGCCACCTATCCTGGGGCTGGCTGGCTGGCTGGTGCCGGTGGTCTCTGCCCCCCGTGACAGCGGTGCAGGGCGGTAAAGCAGTGTGCAGAGCACCCGGCCGCCTGGCTGGGGTCCTGCCCGGTCCGTGGCTCAGCGTGGGGACTCTGCCACCCACCCGGCACCGAGCCGAGCCTTGACCCGGTGGGGCTGGGCGTCCGGCGCGCTGCTTGGAGTGTCCGTGCGCTCGCTCCTCACGTCTTAGGCATGCGCTTGAGTTAGAAGAAACCGGTTTAAAAGGAGGCGCCATGCCCACCACTGCTTCAGAGGTTGCCAGAGGTCATGGAAAATGAAATTAAAAGACGGTTTTGATGCAAAGAACGTGTAAAACCCTGTTTATAAGGGGTCTTCAAAAAGTTCACGGAAATGTACATTAAAAGAAAAAGTGGGCGTGGATTTCAAAGCTTTTCTTGCACCAAAATTAATTTTCTGTCTTAATTCCATTTTCCACAGAGTCTTTGACGGGCCCACACAGAGTTTTAGACACGCCCCCGTAGACCTGTGGTCTAGGTCATAGGCTGTAGGTTAGACATAGGCTCCTTCCGAGCGCGAACCCTCTTGGGAATCGAGTAAACATAGTTATGGATTCTCCTCCCCCTCCTCAAAGAAAAGGCAGTGCGTGTGTGGAGAGGCGGGTGGGCACCCTGGTGTCAGAGTGGGCCCGGGAGGCCTGGGGGACGGGGCACTGGACAGTGCGCAGACCGGCGGGGTTTGCAGCAGGGTGGCATTCGCATTGCTTGCCCTAAGGAAATTCACATTCAAAACATCCCCTGCCCCAAAAAACCCCACTCACTAACGGCGGTCCCTTGGAGGGCAGCCCCGGGCTGACTCCTGCCCGGAGTGAGGGACCGTTGTGCCCGCAGGCCCGGCAGCAGGCGCAGGTGCGGCACCAGATGGCAGAGGACAGCAAAGCCGACTACTCCTCGGTCCTGCAGAAGTTCAACCAGGAGCAGCACGCGTACTACCACGCCCACATCCCCGGCATCTTCCAGGTGAGGCCGCGGCCCTCGCCCTGCCCGCGCGTCGTGTTCTAGATGCTTCTGCAGCCCCGGACGCCGCCGCCGCCGCCGCAGCCCGGGGGAGTGTCTCCGGAGCCGCCCGCTTTGCACGGGTCACCGTGTCCTCGCCAGGTGTGGAGCCGGGAGTCGCGGCCCAGGTCGCGGGAGGCAGAGCAGCTGCCGTAGACCCGCAGGTCTGAGCACCTGGACGTCTCCCCTTGGACTGCTTCATTCTGACAATTTTGGTTGTCAAAAATAGCACGAGGAAACCTACATATGCGGGGGGGTACTTGAAGAAGTTCATGGAGAAATGGAATTAAAAGAAGATATGTTTATTTTGGTGCAAAAAATGTTGAGGTCCATGCATAGTTTTTTTTTTTTAAGATTTATTTATTTATTTATTTGAAAGTCACAGTTACACACAGAGAGAAGCAGAGGCAGAGAGAGAGAGAGAGAGAGAGAGAGAGAGAGAGAGAGGTCTTCCATCTGCTGGTTCACTCCCGAGTTGGCCGCAACGGCCAGAGCTGCGCTGATCCGAAGCCAGGAGCCAGGAGCTTCCTCCAGGTCTCCCACACGGGTGCAGGGGCCCAAGCACTTGGCCATCCTCCACTGCTTTCCTGGGCCACAGCAGAGAGCTGGATCGGAAGCGGAGCAGCCAGGACTAGAACCAGCGCCCATATGGGATGCCGGCGCTGCAGGCGGTAGCTTAACCCGCTGCCCCACAGCTCCGCCCCCATGCAGTTTTTCCATGAACTTTTTGAATACCCTCCGGTGCATGGATTTCCACCGTTTCTGTGCCAGGACATTTTTGAGGTGCCCCGTACATATTCCCCTGCTTGGGAATCTTTCTACAAATGTGAGTCCGGTTACAGAAAACAACGATTCGCTTTTTGACATGCAGCCGCAGGCACGCTGGTTATGTCTCCGCCAGGGCCGAGTTGGAGCAGCCAAAGACAGTGCTTTCTGTTAGCTGTCACTTTAAAACTCCTGCGTGGGGCTGAGGCTCTGCCCGGTGGAGGCGTGGGAGGCACGCACCGGGCGGCCCCGCTGAGCCCCCGGCTTGCCCTGCCTCCAAGCCCGCCTCCTTCCTGGGGAGTTTCGGGAGGTCACGGTACCGCCAGGGAGCACCTTCCTGCCAGAAGGGTGGGACGCGTTGATTTCACACTAAGTCGGATTTTGCAGAAAATACAAGAGATGGAGGAGAGGCGGATCGTGCGGCTGGGGGAGTCCATGAAGATGTACGCCGAGGTGGACCGGCAGGTCATGCCCATCATCGGGAAGTGCCTGGACGGCATCGTGAAGGCAGCCGAGTCCATCGACCAGAAAAACGCAAGTATCGGCCCCGCGGCTGCGAACCGCCGAGCCCGCGCCTCCCTTCTGCCCTCCCTTCCCCCTCCCACGGCACGTGCCGGGGAGGCGCTGGGGTCCCAGGCGCCTTGCCGCTGGGGCAGCCCCGCTTGAGAGCCCTTTATGAAAACCTCTGGGTCTTGGACTTAGCTCTCTCACTTCCTTTTGCACAAAACATTTCGTCAGTGGTCACTGAGACGTTTCCGAATTAAAGTGTTTTCTTTTTTAAGTTTTATTTGAAAGGCAGAGTTACAGAGCGGGAGAGGCCGAGAGCGGTCTTCCATCTGCTGGTTCACTCCTCAGTTGGCCGCCACTGCTGGGGCTGCCCTAGGCTGGAGCCAGGAGCCAGGAGCTTCTTCCGGGTCTCCCACGTGGGTGCAGGGCCCAAGGACTTGGGCCATCCTCCACTGCTTTCCCAGGCACATTAGCAGGGAGCTGGATCAGAAGTGGAGCAGCCGGGACTCGAACCAGTGCTTGCCCCTGTCTGGGAAAATCTGACCGTCTAGATTTCGAGGATTTTCTCCCATCACGGGAACCCGCTTCTCTGTTACAACTGCTCATCCCCACCCCCACCCCCACGACCCCCGCACTGCTAGCCCAGGGCCTGGGCTTCCTCTTCCTCGCACCGTCAGCACTGCCGGCCCTGCCTCCTCCTGGTTCCCGGGACATCTCGCCGCCCGCCTGGGCTGGTCTCAGTCTCCTTTGTGGCTGCTTCCTCCTCCTCTCTTCCTCCGCAGGCCCCAGCCCTCGCCCGGTCTCGGCATTCGCTGTCCGCAGTAGGGGCCAGGCTCTCAGAGCGCCCCTCCCCGCCCACGCTGGCCCATCTACTGCACCTCTGGGCCTCGCTGTGGGCGTCCAGATTCACCTGCCGTGGGGTTTCCCGCCTGGATGACCGGCTGGCCCGTTTTCTGTCTCTGTCACAAAATACCTGGGGCTGAATACTTAGAAAGAGACAGCGTACGGGGCAGGCGTAACGTGGCGTAGCAGGTGAAATGCCAGCGAAGAGGCCGCGCCCCGCATCAAGCACCTGAGTCCATTCCTGGCTGCGGCTCCCGACTCTGCTTCCCGCCGAGGCAGGCCCTGGGAGGCCGCGGTGATGGCTCAAGTGGCTGCGGCCCTGCCACCCACGCCGGAGACCGGGTTGAGCTCTGGCTCCAGCCATTGTGTGCATTTGGGAAGTAAACCATTAGAGAAGAGCATTCTCTCTCTCTCTCTCTCTCTCTCTCTCTCTCTCTCCAGGACAAGACAAGAGGTTGCTTTAGCTCCAGGTTATGGAGGCTGAAAGCCCAGTAGCAGGCAGCCCCGTGTGGCCCTGCTGCGGGCCCTACTGACTCCTCACGCCATAGCACTGGTGTCCCTGCAGGGGTGTGTGCAAGGGGGAGGGAGCCTGCATTTGTCCCAGCCCAGCGGGCTGCCAGGGACCTGACCCCTCCAGCCTCCAGCTTAGCCACTGCGACCAGGCCCGCACACCAAGGCCTGGGGGGGACACTCGAGGGCCGTTTCTACGCCATGGCCCTGCCCCGCCCTCCCTGTGGCCCTCCCTCTCTGCACCCAGCCACAGGAATCCTCCCGACGCGTGTCAGTCTACAGCCCTGCAAATGTGCGGCACCTGGGACGGCCCCTCCCCCCAGGCCCCGCCCCCTGCCTCAGTGCCGATCCTGCCCTCCACAGAGAGCCTTGTCGTACGTGGAGCATGGCCGCCTCTGCCCAGGAGCGTCCAGGGACGCCTGTCTCCCTTGGCAGGAGCCAAAGTCACATGGGGTACAAAGCCCTGAGCTGGCCACAGAGCCCTGCCCACCCTATTTATCTCTGGCGCATCCCCTGTCCTCCGTGCCCTCCCCGACATCCTAGCCACAGTGGCCCCTGGACTTTCCTGAAAACTGCGGACCCCTCCTCCCAGCTCTTCTCTGCCTGGACCCCCCACCTTGTCTGCAGGGTCACCCCTCACCCCCTTGGGGTCTACTCGAGCGGCCGACTGCTTCATTCTGCTGGGTCTACTTTAAGGTCCTGGGGCCAGTGTTGCGATGCTGCCGGCTAAGCTACCGCTGGCCAGGCAGGCAGCCCATACCAGAGTGCTGGTTTCAGTCCCGGCTGCTCCACTTCTGAGCCAGCTCCCTGCTGATGCGCCTGGGAAAGCAGAGGAAGATGGCCCAGGTGCTTGGGGCCCTGTAACACACGTGGGAGACCAAGGTGGATTTCCTGGCTGGAAATTTGGCCTGGCCCAGCCCTGACTGTTGTGGCCATCTGGGGAGTGAACCAGCCAGGGGAAGATCTCTTCTCTCTCTCTCTTTGTCTCTCTGTCACTGTCACTCTGTCTTTGAAATAAATAACTGTTTTAAAAAGAATTCAGTGAGGGCCGGCACTGTGGTGTAATGGGTAAAGTCGTTGCCTTTAGCGGTGCCAGTTCGAGACCCGGCTGCTCCACTTCTGATCCACACCCTGCTGATGCGCCTGGGAAAGCAGAGGAAGACAGCCCAAGTGCTGGGCCTCTGCACAACACGGGAGACCCGGAGGAAGCTCCTGGCTCCTGACCGGCCCAGCTCCGGCCATTGTGACCATTTGGGGAGTGAACCAGCAGATGGAAGTTTTATGTCTCCCTCTGTGTGTCTTCTCTCTCTCTCTAACTCTGCCTTTCAAATAAATAAATCAATCTTTAAAACAAACAATGAGAATCCAGCGGTCACTGTGCAGGCGCCTGGCTTAGTGGTTAAGGTGCAGCTGGACAGCTGCGGCCCCGTCGTCTGCTGGCTCAAGTCCCAGCCCCACTGCTGATTCCGGGCTCCTGCGGCATGCGCACCGTGGGGCTGCCAGGGTGCGGCGAGTGCTCGGGTCCCTGCCTGTGGGAGGCCTGGATGCGGTTCCTGCTCTGGCTTTGGCCCGTCCCATTTGGGGAATAAACCAGCAGAGGGAAGCTCTCTCTCGCTCGCTCTGCCTCTCTTTCCTTCTCTCTCTCCTCTCTGCCTTTCAAATAAATAAAAATAAATTTTAAAAAGAACTTACCAAAAAAAAAAAGATTTCTGGGAAAGGCAGAGTGACAGAGAGAAGCAGACAGACAGAGGTCTTGCGTCCTCTGGTTCAGTCCCCAGATGGCTGTGACATTTGGGGCTGGGTCAGAGCTAAGCTAGGAGCCAAGAACTCCATTCAGGTCTCTGGAGTGGGTGCAGGGACCCAGGTACTGGGCCGTCTCCTGCTGCTTTCCCAGGCGCATCAGCAGGGAGCTGGATCGGGAGTGGAGCAGCCGGGAGTCACCTGGCACTCGTGTGGGATTCTGGCGAGGGCTTAACCTGCTGTACCCCAGTCCCAGCCCCTAGAAGGTATTCATGGGAACCAGGTTTTTGAATCACATGTTGTTCAAGGGAATTACATAATCATAAGCCATTGATTTTTTTTCCCTGCTTTCAACATGCCAGTTTTTGTTTGTTTGTTTTGTTTTTGTTTGTTTGTTTTTTGGTTTTTTTTTTTGACAGATAGAGTTAGACAGTGAGAGAGAGACAGAAAGATCTTTCCGTTGGTTCACTCCCCAAATGGCCGGAGCTATGCCGATCCGAAGCCAGGAGCCAGGTGCTTCCTCCTGGTCTCCCATGGGGTGCAGGGCCCAAGCACTTGGGCCACCCTCCACTGCCTTCCCAGGCCACAGCAGAGAGCTGGCCTGGAAGAGGAGCAACCGGGACTAGAACCCGGCACTCATGGGATGCCGGCGCCGCAGGCGGAGGATTAACCAAGTGAGCCACGGCACCAGCCCTACACGCACCAGTTTTTAACCAAAACTTCTTTCTCCAAATGTAGAAAAACAGGTAAGGGCCGGTGCCACGGCTCACTAGGCTAATCCTCTGCCTTGCGGCGCCGGCACACCGGGTTCTAGTCCCGGTCGGGGCGCCAGATTCTGTCCTGGTTGCCCCTCTTCCAGGCCAGCTCTCTGCTGTGGCTCGGGAGTGCAGTGGAGGATGGCCCAAGTGCTTGGGCCCTGCACCCCATGGGAGACCAGGATAAGTACCTGGCTCCTGCCATCGGATTAGCGCCGTAGCGCGCCAGCCGCGGCGGCCATTGGAGGGTGAACCAACAGCAAAAGGAAGACCTTTCTCTCTGTCTCTCTCACTGTCCACTCTGCCTGTCAAAAAAAAGAAAGAAAGAAAGAAAGAAAGAAAGAAAGAAAGAAAGAAAGAAAGAAAGAAAGAAAGAAAGAAAGAAAGAAAGAAAGAAAGAAAGAAAAATAGGTATTCAAAGTATCTTCGAATCTCAACGACAGACAGAGCTTTACAGACTGCGCTGGTCACAGGCAGTGATGAGACTCTTACTAGAAAAAACCGGCTGCCAGTGAGGGTCATTCCGCAGAGCGGCTGTCGGAGGTCGTCGGAACTTATCCTCAGCAAGTCTCTGTTCGTGGCTGTGATTTCAGGACTCCCAGCTGGTCGTCGAAGCTTACAAGTCCGGCTTCGAGCCGCCGGGCGACGTGGAGTTCGAGGATTATTCCCAGCCCATGCAGCGCGCCGTGTCCGACCACAGCCTGTCCAGCTCGCGCGGGGAGGGCAAAGCGGAGCCCAAGTTCGCGGGCAAATCCAAGGGGAAGCTCTGGCCGTTCATCAAGAAAAATAAGGTACTGCTGCTCGGACGGGGTGCGGAAGGCGCACATCCGGTGCGGAGGCGGCCACGTGACGGCTCGGCCTTGCCTCGATGCCGAAGACGAGGCGCGGGCGGGCCGTCGTGTCCCGGTGTGCGGTGGTGGCGGTGGTGGCGTCGGTGGTGGTGGTGGTGTCTTTGCCATGGCCTCTGTCTTGTCTCGGACGCATTCTCACCTGTCCCGTGTCACCACACTAACGGCTGATTCACCCGGTGGGCGCGTTGCCTCCCGCCTTTCATCCGTAATGGTCCCCAGACAGCCGAGGCCGGCCGGCGGAGGGCAGAGCACGTGGCGTCCCTGTAACCGTTGATCTAACCGCACTGGTGGCCGTGGGTTAACACGTGTGTCCGCGCACACCGTCCCTTGAGTTTTCCTCACGGGACCCACAGGTGCATGTCGGCATTAACGGTGGCGGAAGACAGGTGGCGGCAATGTTCCTGCTTTAACTGTAGAGCGAGTTAATGTTCCATTGACACTGTCTTGCTGTTTTCACAACCTCGCACCGAAGGTCATCCATTGGCTCCCCCCAGCTGTGTTAGTGTAGATGGTGTAGACGGTGTAGACGCTGAACCCTGCGGCTGGCGGGGCTGGTGGGCGTGGGCAGGCTGCATGCGCCGGGGTGCCTCCCCTCCCCCCTCCATCCCGCACTCCACTTCACGCGCTCTCCACGCTGGCGTCCGGCCGTGGCCTCGACGTGTACTTGTTTGTGTTTACTTGCTTTGGGTTTCAGATATGATTTGATGCTTATTTTTGTTTTGTGTCTTCTTGTTTCTGGTTTTTACTCTGTCACTGCTCCATCTCTCACACGTAGCTTGTGTCCCTTTTAACATCCCCCCGTCAGCCTCCCCCCCCGCCCCCTGCCTCTGCCTCCCCCTCTGCTGTTCCCAACGGCCCCCAGTCTCCCAAGCAGCCAAAGGAACCCCTCTCCCATCGCTTCAACGAGTTCATGACCTCCAAACCCAAAATCCACTGCTTCAGGAGCCTAAAGCGTGGGGTAAGTGCCGCTCCGGGGCCCGTCTCACGCGCACTCTCCCTTGCACGTTTTCTTCTGCAGAAGCCGTTGTGTCTGTGAGTGAATCCATTGTGTTTTCCCGTGGACGTGCAGAAGGAGCTGGGGCTGTAGCTGGAAGGAGAAGGCAGGCAGCAAGCGACGACAGGGGGCGGGAAGAGAGGGGCCCCGGCCCCAGTGCTTTCTGGAACGTTCCCGCTTCCTCTGCAAAGCATCTAAGTCATTGATTTTTTTTTACCTTGATTTTACCAAAAAGGGGGACTTTTTAGATTCTGTTTCTAAAAGCAGCGATGAGATGAGGAATTGGAAGTGACCGCGCAGTCAGAAAATATTTGCTTAATAATTGCTGAAATCGTGTGAACGTCGTGCAGAGCCAGAGCGGAACTGGCCCACGCCTCGTGGTTCCAGTAGCGTTTTTAGTAAAATCCAAGTACCTGCTGCCTGCACAAGGCCTAATTATTTCTTTCTTTCTTTCTTTCTTTCTTTCTTTCTTTCTTTCTTTCTTTCTTTCTTTCTTTCTTTCTCTCTCTCTCTCTCTCTCTCTCTCTCTCTCTCTCTCTCTCTCTCTTCCTCTTCCTCTTTCTTTCTCTCTTTCTTTCCTCATCCACTTGAAAGCCGAGTGACCGATCTTTTATTCACTGGTTCTCTCCCCAAGTGCCCACCAACCGCCTGGGCTGGGCCAGACTAAAGCCAGGAGCCAGGAAGTCCATCTGGGTCTTTCAAGTCCGAGTTCTTGGGTCCTGATCCAATGCCTTCCCGTGTGCATCGGCGGGGAGCTGGGTTGGAAGTGGAGCAGCCGGGACTGCGGTCTGGGACGCAGGAGTCCTGAGCTGCGAGACGTGGCTGCTACGTACCACGTGCTCAGTGTCACGCGCCCATTTAACTGTTTCATCCACGCTTTGAAGCCTGGGTAGTAATGTTTCTTATTTCACTGCAAGGGAACCTGAAGCGCACAGAGCTGAGGGTGGGAAGCGCCGGGCCGGGGTTTGAGCGCGGAGTCTGTGTTCGGAGCCTGAGGCTCTGTGACGTCCCTGTCCGGGCAGCAGGTGGGTCACGTGGCTGACTCCTCCATGGCCTGCCGTGTGGTCCAGGTGGCACCTACGCTGGCCACAGGGATTGGTGGGATTGGTGCTTCAGTCCCACATAGATGCCGGTGGGTTTATGGAAAAGGAGGGGGACTGGCACCGTGTGTAGCCCCCTGGGTAAACCTGAGTGCTCTGCTCTCAGCTCCCCCAGGCCTGTGTTACCTGGAGTAACCCCTGCGCGCGCACACACACACACACCAGGAGTAACCCCTGCACACACACACACACACACAGCGGGAGTGACCCCTACACACACACACCCACACCCCGGGAGTAACCCCTACACACACACCGGGAGTGACCCCTACACACACACACACACACACCAGGAGTGACCCCTACACACACACACACACACCAGGAGTAACCCCTGCGCACACACACACACCGGGAGTAACCCCTACACACACACACACACACCAGGAATAACCCCTCCGCACGTGCGCACACACACACCAGGAGTGACCCCTCTATACACACACACACACACCCCGGGAGTAACCCCTACACACACACACACACACCCTGGGAGTAACCTCTACACACACACCCCAGGAGTGACCCCTCCACACACTCACACACACATACACCGGGAGTGACCCCTACACACACACACACACACACACACACCAGGAGTGACCCCTGTACACAACACACACACACCGGGAGTGACCCCTCTACACACACACACACACACACACCGGGAGTGACCCCCCCTACACACACACACACACACACACACACACACCAGGAGTAACCCCTGCACACAACACACACACACACCAGGAGTAACCCCTCTACACACACATACACACACACACCAGGAGTGACCCCTGCACACACACACACACACACACCAGGAGTGACCCCTGCACACAACACACACACACCGGGAGTGACCCCTCTACACACACACACACACCAGGATTGACCCCTGCACACACACACACACACCAGGAGTGACCCCTGCACACACACACACACCAGGAGTGACCCCTGCACACACACACACACACCGGGAGTGACCCCTGCACACACACACACACACACACACACACCGGGAGTGACCCCTCTACACACACACACACACCAGGAGTGACCCCTGCACACAACACACACACACCGGGAGTGACCCCTGCACACACACACACACACACCAGGAGTGACCCCTGCACACACACACACACACACAGCAGGAGTGACCCCTGCACACACACACACACACACACACACACCGGGAGTGACCCCTGCACACACACACACCCACACCCACCGGGAGTGACCCCTGCACACACACACACACACACACCAGGAGTGACCCCTGCACACACACACACACACACCCCGGGAGTGACCCCTGCACACACACACATACACACACACCAGGAGTGACCCCTGCACACACACACACACACACACACACCGGGAGTGACCCCTGCACACACACACACACACACACACCAGGAGTGACCCCTGCACACACACACACACACACCGGGAGTGACCCCTGCACACACACACATACACACACACCAGGAGTGACCCCTGCACACACACACACACACACACACACCAGGAGTGACCCCTGCACACACACACACCAGGAGTGACCCCTGCACACACACACACACACACACACACACACACACCGGGAGTGACCCCTGCACACACACACACACACACACACACACACCGGGAGTGACCCCTGCACACACACACACACACACCGGGAGTGACCCCTGCACACACACACACACACACACACACCGGGAGTGACCCCTGCACACACACACACACACACGGGAGTGACCCCTGCACACACACACACACACACGTGCACCTCGCGCCTCACCGAATGCAGCGAGGTTCAACATTCCTGAGCTGCGGGAGCCGCAGTAGTTGCGGGGACGCTTCCGGTCTAACGTGATTTCGCCTTTTCCTCTGGGGTCCCAGGCCCCTGGTAGTCGGGTAACCTCCGTGTCTGTGAAGCCAGAGTTGGGTGCCCGTCACATTTTGGTTTTTCCCCTGCCGTGCTGTGAGCTGCCGCACTGGGCTGGGGACGGAGTCCAGGCCCTGACCGACTCCCCAGACCAGAGGTGCCCGCCCTGGAACGGAACAGCGGCTGGCCAGTGGCGGCAGAATGGTGGCAGTGGCTGCGAACCCGAGCGGTGTGTGAACAGAACCGGCTGGGTGCCTCTCCAGGCGCGGCGGAAGCGGCCTCGCTCCCTCGGCAGTGCGTGGGAAAGCAGCGCCGTGGGTCCGGCTAAGAAGCAGGCGGCCCCTTTCCTAGTGACATCCGCAGTGGCCCAGCAGAGGGATCGTTGGGCGAGGAGTGGGTGATGGATTGTGCCGGGCTCTATTGTTAGGACTCGCTGAGGAATCCGCGGCTTCCTGGCTGGATGCAGGCCTCCCCGGCCCCTCCCCCCAGAACTTCCAGAAGCCGAGCAGGGCCCGGGCGCTCTCGGCCAGCTCTGCCGCCAGTGCCGCTCCCCCCCTCACCCCATCGATCGTGAAGGCCTGTGCGTTTGTCTCTGGGTTCTCGCGGTGGACTCGCGGATGTGCGCGACTGTTCACGGCTCTTGATGCATCGAATCCGTCCATCTGTCACCGCCACACTGTCGGCTGCCAGGGCTCTCTGTGCTCGCGGTGTCCCCAGATGTGTAGGACAAGACCAAGCGGTCAGCGTTCAGGACGTGCAGAACGGCGCTCGGGGGAAAATACTCAAACCACGCAACGCTGACATGAGAAGCTGGCTGTCCTGATGATTTAGAGGGAAATGGCCCTTTTTTTTTTAAACAAAAAACCATATTCAACAAAACAAATTTTATTTCTTAGTCCTCAAATATGTGCTTGGCAAGCTTCTGTTAAAAGCAGCTGCCACGTGCCGCGGGTTTTTCTGAGGGCCGCTCGCACGGTGTGCTGTCGCTGAGAACAGGCGTCTGCTGCCCTCGTTTTGGGCCGCATTTGATGTTCTTTCCGCAGGAAGCAGCAGTGCGAAAAGTGGGGAAAAAAAAAAAAAAAAGAAGCAATAGGAAACACTCCACAGCAGCGGGGTTAGCAGGCTCAGGTCGGATTTGATGTTAGCATTAGTGATCTCAGCATTAGCAGGGACCAGGAGCCCTCTCTCTGCCAAGCGTCACTTGGGTGTTGATGACACCATCAAGGGCCGTGTCAAATGATCAACTTAAAGACGAGCCTGCTGTAGGGTCGCTGAAACTCGAGGCCCACCTGCAGGGCCCGGCCAAAGCTTTCGCTGGCCAAACAGAGAGAGGGAGAGACAGGCGGATCTTCCATCCTCTGGTTCACTCCCCAGACGGCCAGGAACCCGAACTCCAAACGGGTCCCCGACGTGGGTGCAGGGACCCAAGCATTTGGGCCGTCTTCTGCTGCTTTCCCAGACACATTAGCAGGGAGCTGGATCGGGAGTGGAGCAGCCGGGACTCAAACCGGTGTCCATATGGGATGCTGGCGCTTCAGGCCGTGGCTTTACTCGCTGTGCCGCCGCGCCGGCCCCGGTTCAGTTTCAGTCACTTATCAGAGGGGACAAATCCTGTGCAAACCGCTGTTCCCAGAATTTGTTTTGCATCTAAGGAATTCAACAGGGTGAACCATTTCTTCTTGCAAGCAGTCGGCATCCAGGAGAAAATTCTGTTTCTCTGAACACCTGCACTCTGTTCTCACGGGGCAGCCTACGGCGTGGCTTCCCTGCCCTCGTGTAGGGTCTGCTCTTCTGGCCTCTGCAGGGACTTCTGTATCTCAAGTGTGGACCCTCCCGTGTTCATTATATGGGAAATACCATCCGAAAGATTTTGAAAGTCCCCAGCGACGGTCAGGGCTTTGTCCGGGGTTGCGGTCTCCCGGTCACTTGAATTCTAATTTTTTTTGTTTTGTTCTCTCGCTGGTGATTGGCAGCCTCAGTCTCTCTGTTTTCACAGAGAACTCATGAAGAGGACCCTAGGGAAACCCACCTATGCCTTCGAGGCTAGGGACTATGTTGTAAGTTTACCGGTGGCGCTGTCTCGGCACAGCCACTAACCCCATTGACAGCACCAGACCGGGGACTCAGGCCCTGGCACCCGGTGAAATTCTCACCAGGAAAAAGCCTGATCGTGCAAATGCGGCCACAGGCTGCTCCGGCCGGAAACCACGCGTGCGCAGAGCAGCCGATCTTTCGAGCCCCGATCTGTGCCGCTCCCGGCAGGGGGCTGTGGCCCTCGTCTAAGACGACACCGGGTGTGACTTCCTGGCCAAATTTCACCCTGAGACGCCGCTGCGGGCAGCTGAGTGGCTTGACCAGCCCCGTGCACGTGTGGCACGCGTGGCTCTGTAAGGGGGGGTGCCCTGAGCTCAGGGGACGCAGCAGAGCGCCGTCCCAGGGGGCACAACGAGCCCCCCCCCCCCTTAAATACACGGCCGTGCGTTCCCTCCCCGTCCCCTTTCTTTGTGCGTGAGGTTGGTCCCTGTGACTGTCCCTCAGCGCTCAGCCACCCTGGCTCTGGCTCTGTCCCCGCATGTGGCCTCTGGCAGTGTCCCTGCCAAAACCTCTGAGTGGCTTCCTGGTTTTCCATGATCTGATTGGCTGGCTCGAGGCTGGAAACCAGGGTCGAATCCTGGACAAGAATCCCCGGTGCCGCGGCGCCGCGCAGGGATCTGGCGGGATTCGCGTTCAGCCCTGACGGCTTGCTTCCTGTACGACCTGTCCGTGTCAGAACGTGGCGACCTCATGTCCAGAAGTAGCTGGGTAGACAGCCCACGGCGCGCCAGTGCAGGCGCCGGGCCGCGAGTTAGCGCTGTCCAGACCACGCGTACGGTGGTAATTGTGTTCGGCCGTGCGCTTTGTTGGGGAGATGCCGGGGGCGCCACCGTGGTGTCTGTGTGTGCCGAACTCCACCCGTGCTGAGCAGATCTGTGCGAAAGTCCACAGGAGGGCCCACGCGCGCGGCACCGGCTGGTTCGCGGCTGCAGCACCCGGCCTTCCCCAGAAGTCCGTCTTGCTGTTTCCTTCCTATAGAAATCTCTCTTCTCCATAGAGACAGTTTCTTTAGAAGGTTACTGGCTATTTACAAAAAAAAAAAAAGCATCAACCTTGAGTAAGTCGGAAGAATTCGAATTTTTTAATCTGGTGGAGGGATTCTTAAGCCCTCTGCAACCGCGAGGGCACTGCTCAGACTTCGTCTGCAAAGTGTCTGGCCCCAGCAGGTGGTTGCCCTACCTCTGGATTGACGGTGGGGTGCCTGGCACTGGAATCTCAACATGCAGGCGGGGCCTCGCCGGTCCCGTCCTGTTCTCCCGTGGAAGTGGCAGGGCTGCGGCCGTGGGTGCTCGCCCTGCAGCTGGCACAGCTGGCGGGGTCCTGAGTTCAATGGGAGGCCTCCGGAGGCACCTGCCCCCGGCCCCCCGAGGCACCGGGCTCCCGCGCCCCCCCCCCATGCACATGTGGCACGGGCATCATCTCGGCCTCGTCCTTGGCGGCCCCCCTCAGGAGTTCCAGAGGTGGCCCACTGGGTGGTTTAAGGCACGTGAGCGGCCTCGGGTGCCAGTGTGGAATGAGCGGTCAGGCCCTGTGTGCAGGGCCGCCCAGGGGGATTCTCTGAGCCACAGGCACGGGATTATTTTCACAGCCACTTGTTGCCAACCGCAGGCTGGCGTCCGGGTCCTCGTGAGGGGACTGAGATGGGACTGTGACGTCAGCCTGCTTGTCTGTCTCTGCATCCGTGCTGGCGGCCTGGAGCCCCGAAGCTGCGTCAGGGCCCAGCCCCTCGTGTGAACTTTGGCACAGATCGGCCTGAGCCACTGCCCCCGGGCGACAGGTGGACTTGCTGCTGCGGGAGCTCACCCAGAACCTCCCTTCTCACTTGTCTCTCTCTCTCTCCCTCTCTCTTTTCCCCCTGTTTTCTCTCCAATTTTCCCACGAAGCTTTCTCTCAAACTGGTAAGCACAACCCCGTGCATGTGCTGGGTCTGCCCTGGTTTCGTGGTGTGTGTGTGTGGCTGCCACGCTGTGCCCGTGTCCACATTAACTGTCGGCGTGTGTTTCTCCTCGCCTGTGCTTTGTGGGGGGTTCTTTATGGGGCCTTCGGGGGACAGAGATCCTGGAGGTGACCTTAATCTGTTCCAGTGGCTAAGAAAATTAACGCCTAACCCGTGAACGGGGGCCTTGGGAGGATGACAGATGTTGGGGTCCGCCTGTGGGAACTTGAATCTGCATTTTAAATACGGGGCTATTTATGGATCGTGTGGAATAAAAGTCAGTTTAAGTGATGAAAAATGCCCCCCTCTGGGAGCCCCCGGAGTTGCTGGAAGGGGGGGAGGCACCTGCAGGAGGCAGGCGGGGCGAGCTCCGTGGCCGCCCGCGGGGGCCGCGTACACACGCTGGGGCCTCGGCAGAGCTGGCTCGAGGCCCACAAGAAGACGTGTGGGTGGTGAGAAGACCCCTAAGCCTTTTCAGAATTCCTCACTTAGCGTCCTGTGTCGTCTCTGTTTAACGCGCAGCCCTGGTAAACAGCCAAACTAATCATTACGTTGATTAAAAGAAACTCTTAACCGACATAACCCATAACCGTCCTGGTTACACGGTCTCCCCCAGGGCTGCAGCTGAGGGCCCCCCCTAAAGCGGGGGCAGCGGGGGGCCGCCCTTTAGCCAGGAAAAAGTGGGCACCGGGGGCACCGCCAAGGGCACCGCCGACGGCAGCCCGGGACGGGCTCTCGTGCCGACCTGTGCAGTTTCCAGAGGGAACCTCACGAAGGCTCGTGGACGTCGCCTCTCGGGAAGAACCAGGCACGGATTTGCAAGTTTTCTTTTGGAGCAAAACAGACTTAGTTTTGAATTCCATTTTTTTTGCCACAACATTTTGAACTACCTTCATGGATGTGTGTCCGCATACAGAGAGATGTGTATTTTTTTCAACCTATTTGTCATCTAACGCAACCCTTAAAAGAAGAATCTTGTAGGACATGAAACAGCCCCTGGGCTGCGAGAGGAGCCCTCCGCGTCCCCACGGCCGCTCCAGGCAGAGCGATCCGGGTACAAGCAGAGCGATCCGGGTGTTCTCAAGGACGTGAGCCCACCTGCGGGGGGACGGGGGGATGAAATCGACTGACCGGAGTCTTGCTGGGACCAGGGGCGTTTATTTGCTCTCTCGCTGAGCGCCAGCGGCTCCTGACCGACTTGTTGCCGAGGTGTTACTTTCTAGCGTCACTTTGAAGCCAAGTGTTGCACACAGAGGCCCCAGGAGAGGGGCAAAGGAAGCCAGGAGGCATCTAATCCTGGGGCTAGCGCCGGCCTGCAGGGGGCTGCGAGGAGCCAGCGTTTGCCCACGAGTGAAGCAAGGCCTCTGGACCTGGCATGTATGTGTGTGGGGGGGGGTGATCCACGCCTCCCACGGCGGCACGCCAGGCACAGCCACGCCAGCCGCCCCAGGTGGGGCCTGACTCACCGCCCGACGGGAAAGTCCATCGTGGCAGGGTGCGTCCATGGCCGAGTGCTGTCTGAAAGAACGCAGGCTCCAGCTGGCCGCAGCAGCCTTTGAAGGTGCCTGCCCAGGTGTCCAGCGGCGACGCGACACAGTCGGGACGTCTTCCGCAAGGGACGCAGGCGGTCACTCAGACCAACTCCTGGTCAACGGGAGAGAAGTCTGAGTTTCTGTCCACACTGTCCCAGGCTGTGGGCCCCGTGTGCTCTGTTTCCGGGCCTTGCTCTTGCTGACGCCGTCCACGGTCGGAGGTGGCCCCCCGCCACGCGTCGTCCATGCACGTTTTGATTCATTAACATGAAGTGGACTGTGAAAAGTCACTCCCCACATCGGGTTCTCAGTCGCCACCCGTAGCTGCCAGGCTGGGGCCTCCTCCTAGAAAGTTGTGTCCGGCTCTCAGCAGCACGGTGAGGCCCGACAGGCCTGCCCAGAGTTCACAGTGACCGCTCCCCTCACCCCTGGCTCCCGAAGCAGCGTGTCTGACTTGAGTTTTGTCACATTTCGACTTTTAGAAAGCAGAAGCAAAACCCCAGCATTGTAGAAACCGCGCCGATCAGCCCCAAGCAGACTCTGCACACGCGGCAGTGGGACGAGCCGACAAGCGGGAGATTGATTCCCAGGCTTCCTGTCCCGTCGGCGCCGCGGCCTGCAAGCACGGGTCGCGTTGGCCTTGGACTGAACGCGAGCTTTGCGTCCTCGTGGTTCTGGAGTTGAATGCTGCTTCCCGGGCTTGGCCTCGGGAGCCGTGCTCCCGGCGCCCACAGCGTGGGCCCAGAGGGCCGGGCCGGGCCTCCGGGTAACCATCTGCGGAGTCGCCGGGCACGAGCCCCGTGTGCGCTGCTTGGAGTCCGCTAGCAGCCCCTGCTTCGCCCTGCCCCTGGCTGGAGGAACGGATTCCTCTGTCCGCGTGGAAACAGCCTCGCCTACGTGAAGGCACCTGGCGCCTCCTTCCACGTCGCGTCTGCCCAGGTCTGCCCTACGAAGGCGTGTGCTCAGAGCAGCGAGAGCGACTGTTTCCCGAGGAAGGAGTCGGGACGCCTGGATGGCTGGTGCCTGGGGAAGCCAGCCCCTGGAGGGCCTTCTCTCCGGCTCCCAGCCCTGCCCTGGGACACAGCAGCAGGGGGCAGGAAGTGGAGGGGGAGAGGGAAGATCAGATCGCGTCTTTAAAAACTTTTTCTCTGACAAAGTCTGTCCCGGGGATGGAAGCCTGAGCTGCCTTGTGCAGACAGGAAGGGAAGGACAGGCGGCTGCCAGGGTCGCCTCTGGTCGGTAGGAGGGCGACGCGAGCACTGCTCCCGACACTGGTGCGGGGGACAGGAGGGTCCCCCTGGAAAGGCTGCCCGGCTCTGCCCTGCCGGAAGTGGAGAGCCGCTCTCCTCCTGCCTCTCTGGGGGCTGCGGGACCCCTGCAGTCTGCATGCCATGGGCGTGGCGGGAGGGAGCTTCACGGGGTTCGGGAAGCCCCCTGCAGCCCCCGTGTGCCTCGCGCGGGGCGCGCGGGGCTCCTCACTTGTGTCTGCGTCCCCAGGGCGCCACGCCGGAGGACTTCAGCAACCTCCCACCCGAGCAGAGGCGGAAGAAGCTGCAGCAGAAGGTCGATGAGCTCAACAAGGACATCCAGAAGGAGGTGGACCAGAGGTAGGTGGGCAGGCACTCCCGGGGAAGTCCAGTGCAGGGCGGGTGCCCTCGTCCCGTGTGAGCCCCGCCCCTCGCGATCCAGCTCCCCCCAGTGCTTCCGGGAGGCAGCAGGCGATGACGGCCCTGCCCCCCACGTGGGAGACTCGGGTGGAGTTTCCAGGCTCCCCGCTTGCACCTGGCCCGGGCCTGGCTGTTTAGGGCTTTTGGGCAATGAACTTACAGATGGAAGACCTCTCTCCCTCCATCATTCTACCTTTCCAATGAATTAAAAAAAAAAAAAATCCGGCGCTGCGGCTCACTAGGCTAATCCTCCGCCTTGCGGCGCCGGCACACCGGGTTCTAGTCCCGGTCGGGGCGCCGGATTCTGTCCCGGTTGCCCTTCTTCCAGTCCAGCTCTCTGCTGTGGCTCGGGAGGGCAGTGGAGGATGGCCCAAGTGCTTGGGCCCTGCACCCCATGGGAGACCAGGATGAGTACCTGGCTCCTGCCATTGGAGGGTGAACCAATGGCAAAAGGAAGACCAAAAAAAAAAAAAAAAAAAAAAGTCGGGAAGGCGGGCTAACCTACAGCAGGTTTAAAAGCGATCATCTTAGCTGGGTGTTTTGTCATTGAATACTGCACGGCTTCGTTACAGCCCGTGGGATTCCCTCTTGCAAAAAAAAAAAAAAAGGGGGGGGTCTCTCAAATCTTCCTGAAAAAAGTATATTATGAAAAAATACGCATGCATTTTAAATCTGACTTTCACACCTGATGACGAGGTTGTGTGCCCTTTGAAGAGGCTCGGTGTTGACCCTGCACACGGTGCAGTTCTGCGGTGGTGAGGTTTGATTCTGTAAAAGGCGAAATCGGGGAGGCGGCGCGTTTAAGAACTTGCAAAGCAAGCGCCGTTACTGTTATCAGTGAGCGCTGTGGAGCAACTGCTAAAAAACAGGTCATTGTGTGTTTCAAATAGTTTACAAGGGAGGAACTTTGCTTTGTGCTCGGAGCGTGAGCCGGGGCTGGCGTCGCGGGCACCGGGCTGGCATCCGGGGCGCCAGTTCACGTCCCGGCCGCTCTGCTCCCAGCCGGCGTCCTGCCGGTGAGCACCAAGTGCTCGGGCCCCCCCCCCCCCCCCCCCCCCCCCCCGTGTGGGAGACCTGGATGGAGTCCCAGGCTCCTGGCTGGGGTCTGTCCCAGCCATTTGCAGAGTGGACCTGGGGATCTCTCTCTCCCCTTCTGTCACTCCGTCTGTAAATAAATGAATAAAGTACATCTTAAGAAAACAGACAGCAAGAAAATGAGAGGCCAGCAAGCTGCGAGCCACCTCAGGAAGCTGGAGAAAGAACAGCAGAGGATGGAACACAGGAAGTCGCGCAGTTAATTTTAAAATAAGCGACTCAGCAGAGAGGCCCCAGGGGTCCTCACAGACAGCGATGAAGTCCATCAACTTCTGTGGTTAAAAATGTGTTATTATGGCCAGCGCCGCGGCTCACTAGGCTAATCCTCCGCCTAGCGGTGCCGGCACACCGGGTTCTAGTCCCGGTCGGGGCGCCGGATTCTGTCCCGGTTGCCCCTCGTCCAGGCCAGCTCTCTGCTGTGGCCAGGGAGTGCAGTGGAGGATGGCCCAAGTCCTTGGGCCCTGCACCCCATGGGAGACCAGGAGAAGCACCTGGCTCCTGCCATCGGATCAGCGCGGTGCACCAGCCGCAGCGGCCATTGCGGGGTGATCCAACGGCAAAGGAAAACCTTTCTCTCTCTCTGTCTCTCTCTCTCTGTCCACTCTGCCTGTCAAAAAAAAAAAAAAAGGAAAAAAAATGTATTATTTATTTTGAAGACCAGAAGACCTCCCACCCATTAGTTCACCCCCCAGATGCCTGCAACAGCCGGGACCGGACCAGGCCCGACCCGAGCCGGGACTGGGAGCCGGGAGCTCCATCCGGGTGTCCGCTGTGGGTGGCAGGGATCCAGGTACTGGAGCCACCGCCTCGCAGGCTGTGCCTTAGCGGGAGCTGGAATTGAGGGCAGAGCGGGGCTCACACCCAGGAAGTAGCGGAGGGGTGGACCAGGCGGCCGGGACGGGGTCCTGTGTGGAAGACGGCGGAGGGAGACGCTGGAGCTGCTGTGGGCGCTCGTTCGCGTCCTGAATGCTGACCCTGAGCGGCTGCCGTGTGACGGGCCCCCTGACGCGGGGACCCAGGGAGCCCTGAGCCCCCGCAGGGCCCCGCTCCGGTGGTGCTGAGGGAGCCGGGGAGGGACTGGGGTCCCTCCCTGGTGGAGGGGCGGGCCGCAGGCGGCGCCGAGGACCCCTGGGCGTCTCCCACGCACTTCCGCGTCCCAGGTCACGGCACAGCTTGCGCTTCGGTGTGCTGCGTGACGGCGGGTTCGCACCCTGCTCGTCTGGAGCTCCTTAACCCGCGAAGGCCTCTGGGTCAGCTTGCGGCCGGAGCCTGCTGACCGCACCTGGAGGCCGGGTTAGAGTCCTGCAAGGCCCACGGCCTCCCCGGGCAGCGCTGCTGGGGCGCGGGGGTCCGGCTTCCCGGCAGGACCTCGGAGGACATGAGTCACCCACTAGGCGGCCTCCAGCCTCTTGGTGTCCACTCCCCAAGGGCACCAGCGGGGTGCCTGCTTGCTGGCGCACTCGCTCGCTCGCTCTCTAAGATTTATTTATTTATTTGAAAGAATTAGAGAGAGGGAGACAGAGATCTTCTGTCCACTGGCTCATTCCCCAGATGGCCCCAGCGGCCATGGCTGGGCCAGGCCAAACCAGGAGCTTCCTCCAGGTCTCCCACGTGGGTGCAGGGACCAGCACTGGGCCGTCCTCCTCTGCTTTCCCAGGCCGTTGGCAGGGAGCTGGACCAGAAGTAGGACAGCTGGGGTAGGAACCGGTGTTGCAGGTGGTGGCTTTACCTGCCACGCTGCAGCAGGGACCCCATAGATTCCACTTCCCTACCAGTTAAGGTGGTCTGCAGTAGATTCAGGTGCCCACAGTTAAGGTGGTCTGCAGCAGATTCAGGTGCCCACAGTTAAGGTGGTCTGCAGCAGATTCAGGTGCCCACAGTTAAGGTGGTCTGCAGCAGATTCAGGTGCCCACAGTTAAGGTGGTCTGCAGTAGATTCAGGTGCCCGCAGTTAAGGTGGTCTGCAGTAGATTCGGGTGTCCACAGTTAAGGTGGTCTGCAGTAGATTCGGGTGTCCACAGTTAAGGTGGTCTGCAATGACACCGTGAGAGTGGTGCCGTGGCCCTTCATGAAGTGAGCCTGCTGCAGCCCACAGGACCCCAGAAGCCGCTGCAGTTTGGCTGGGAGGCGCAGGGTTAATTCGATTCTCATTCGCTGAGGTCGGAGAGAAGACGCCCTTGAGAGAAGGCTGTACGCAGCACCTCACAGCCGCGTTGGGTGCAGGGTTCTCTGCGGAGGCCGGGCGCCACCCTCGGGGAGCACCGCTGGCACCACGTCCTGCTTGCTCTGTTTTCCAGAGACGCCATCACAAAGATGAAGGACGTGTACCTGAGGAACCCTCAGATGGGGGACCCGGCCAGTCTGGACCACAAACTGGCGGAAGTCAGCCACAACATCGAAAAGCTGCGGCTGGAGGCGCAGAAATTCGAGGTACGAGACAGCCGCTGTTGGAGGCGCCCGAGGCCGGCAGAGACGGGCGGGAGGTCGGGTCCCGGCACCGAGGGCCCTGCTCCTCTGCCTGTCCTGGTTTAATCGGTTCTGAAAACTGACAGCGCTCAAGTTGTGTTTACACACCGTGCACATGCGTGTGTGTACGTGTGCGTGAGCAAGTTCTCCCATCTGCCGCGTCGTGCCCAGATGCCTGCCGCAGCCAGGGCTGAGCCTTGCTGAAGCCAGGAGCAGGAGCACCCGCGGGGCCCGAGGACTTGAGCCGTCACCGCTGCCCGCCCGGCGCACACTCGCAGGAGCCGGGGTGGGGCAGAGCCAGGGCTTGACTGCCAGGCCCTACGCCCACACCGGGTTCACTCTGAAGCGTTCACTCTGCTTTGTCCCCTACCAGTGAAGCTGGCAGTCCAGAGCCACCCACCGTCTTGGTGGATCCAAAAGCAATTTAAAAATCAGCTGAGGAGCCAGCGTTTTGGAGCAGTGGGTTAAGCCGCTGCCTGCAGTGCCGCATCCCGCAAGAGCACTGGTTCGAGTCCCAGCCGCTCCACTTCCAGGCCAGCTCCCTGCTAATGGCCTGGGACAGCAGCGGAACGTGGCCCACGTGCTTGGGCCCCTGCGCCCGCGGGGGAGACCTGGACGAAGCTCCTGGCTCCTGACTTTGGCCTGGCCCAGTCCTGGCCATTGAAGCCATTTGGGGAGTGAACCAGCAGATAAAAGCTCCCTCTCTCTCCCTTCTCTGTATCTCTGCCTTTTCACTGAAATCAATAAATCTCAAAAAAAAAGAGGTAACAACTCCTAAAACGTGGGCCATGTGGCTGTCAAACCTCCTCCGTGCTTGGGGCGGAAGTTCCCCAGATTCCCCGAGGGACCTCAGGGTCCCAGGACCCCCGGAACAGGAGGAGCAGGGAGTGACCTCCGGAGTCACTGCCGCCCAGCGCCCACTGCCCCGCCCGCTGCGGGCCTCTGCCTCTGGGTCGGGGGGGGGGGGGCCTCTGCCCTGGGGGCTTGGGGGGACCGTCTGGAAAGTCAGGGAGGGCCTGCACCCCACCCTGGCGCAGGGTGCAGCCTGCAGGTAGCCTGGGTCCGAGTAAGCGTCGGGCGTCTTTCCCTCGCAGGCCTGGCTGGCGGAGGTGGAAGGGCGGCTGCCGGCCCGCAGGCAGAGCGGGCTGTACGACAGCCAGACGGCCCCGGCTGTCAACAACTGCGTGCAGGACCGCGAGAGGTACAGTATCTGGGCGGCGCGGCGGCGGGCGGCCCCAGGCGGCCCCGGGCGGCAGGCGCTATAGTGGCTGTGTGCCTTGCTTTCTTGAGCAGCCCAGATGGCAGCTACACGGAGGAGCAGAGCCAGGAGAGCGAGGCCAAGGTGCTGGCCCCAGACTTCGACGACGAGTTTGACGACGAGGAGCCACTGCCCGCCATCGGCACCTGCAAGGCGCTGTACACGTTCGAAGGTGACGCCTGGGCAGTTGCTGGCTCTGGATTCCTCCCCTTGGCCCAGGCCCTGCCGGTGCGGCTGCGGTGGGCGGTGTGGGAGACGCGTGCTCCCCTGCTCAGTGGCTGCGCACGGAGTGGCTGTCTTGCAGAGGCTGTAAACGGAAGCGAGGGAGGCGCAGAGGACGGAGCGGGTCCCCTGCCCCAGACACGCACAGTGGAGGGCGGCTGGCGGGGTCTCCCGGACAAGGGGTCCGGGGGGCGGTGCGTCCCTCCGGGGTCAAGAGAACGGCCCATGCAGCCGGGCTGGGCCCTGGCCAGATGTGGGGGTGTAAGGGCTGAGCCCGCGCCGCCTTCTCAGGCACATTAGCGGGGAGCTGGCTCAGAAGTGGAGCAGCCGGAACCCAAACGGGCTCCCATGGGATGCTGGTGAGGTGCCCATTGCACCTCGACGCTGGTCCCCCCACCGCCCCGGTGCTGGTCTTTACAAAAGACCTTGGCGCGTGTCTCTGGGAGACCCCACTAAGGGATGGCCACAGAGAAACCGCTCGGATTCAGGCCACTGGGAAGCCAGGAGCAGAGAGGAGTGCGGTCTGGGAAGGAGGAGGGGCCGGGTGCACCCCGTGTAGCACTCAGGGCCCAGGCAACGTCAGGGTGCAGCCTTAGCCACAGAGAAACAGCGGAGACGGGGAGCGAGACAGAGACGGGGAGCGAGACAGAGACGGGGAGCGAGACAGAGACGGGGAGCGAGACAGGAGGGCGGCGTTTAAAGGGGGCGTGGCTGCAGGCAGCACAGTCGCTGGCCCCAGCCGGAAGTCCAAGGAGGTGCGAGGATAGAGGAGACCCCCCCCCCAAGACTGCCCTGGGCGGGAGGAGAGGGGGCCCCTTGGGGACCTGGAGGACAGGCCCTGGTGGTGTCTGCGGCAGGAGGCAGGCCCCGGGCCAGGGCCAGGGCGCCACGCGGCAGCCTGCACCCCCTGCCGCACCTGCCGCACGGTACCTGAGTAGACACTGTCCCCACCCTGCCTTCCCAGGCCAGAACGAAGGGACCATCTCCGTGGCCGAAGGAGAGACGCTGTACGTCATTGAGGAGGACAAAGGCGACGGCTGGACCCGCATTCGGAGGAGCGAGGACGAGGAGGGCTATGTCCCCACTTCCTACGTCCAAGTCTATTTGGACAAAAATGCCAAAGGTGCTAAGACTTATATTTAATACCGCTTACACACACACACTTAAAGCCGTTGGCGCTGTCTGTCCCACGCTGTGGCTGCTCGGGGCAGTTCTGGGCGAGGCCGGAAGGAGAGCACCTCCCAGTGGACGGCAGGTGCCGCCCGCCTGCCCTTGCTTGTCTCGTGTCGCTGTAGTCGCCTCACTCGCTGTGAGATCGCGCGTGGAAGGCGCCCGCCGCTGCCGACTCAGCTCTGCCGTGAAATCTGATAAGCGCTTCTTCCTGTGTGGGCGGCGCAGACCGCTGCATCCCAGCCTCCGGTCAGTGTTGGAGTGGCAGCATCCACGTGCGTCCCCCGGGGTGCTCCGTGGCTCGCGTCCGCCATACTGCCTGGGGCTCTAGGATGTCACGTCTTGTAGCTTAATAAACTGGACCATGCTAGCCGGCTGAGTGCTACAATCGTTCACTCGGGAGGAAGTCATAAAGCTAAGAAAAGCCATCTCCCCCTCCTTGGGTTCGAGTGCTGGTACCGGAAGTGTGCCTCTTTCTTGGACGGGGCCAGCCCCGCAGCTGAGAGCGTCCAGGGGCGCTGGACGCCTGTCTGATCCCAAGCAACCCACCGCAAGCTGGCCAGCTTTGCGCCAGTATCTGGAGTAGGGGGAGGGATTCGACACAGCTGTTCTGGGTGCCCTGGCTCCGCCCATCGCAGCCGAACCCCTGCCGTCAGCCTCGGCGCCCTCTGTGCTGCTGGCGGCCCCGCGGCAGGTGCAGCGCCCACGCAGGTGGGGCCTGGACAGAACTCCGGGAGGCGGAGACCCCAGATGCACCGGAGCTTTGCAGATGTTTTCCTGTGTGTGTCTTCTTTTTAATCATTAGCCCATTTCAGACTCAGCGCTTGCATCTCCTGGGGAGTGTTTTAGAATTTCTGGCTCCTTCGTAAGATGAACCGGAGCCAGAACCAAGTTGACAGAGTCTCACCGGCTCCCGAGGGGTCTGGGCCACGCAGCACCGGTGTGGGCAGGAGGGTGGAGGGCAGGCGGTGGAGCTGCCACGCCGCCACGCCCAGGCGAGGATCCAGCCTCGGGTGGCAGAGGCAGCCGCGGGGCCCAGAAGGCTTGCGCGAAGCGTCGGCTCTCATCTGGCTCTGGAAGCTGTTAGCTCACGTTCTCTCTGCCCGCAAGTAGGAAAGAGGCTCCCGGCCTCCGCCTGCGGGCTCTGCCCCAAGTTCAAAGTCCTTTTTTTTTTTTTTTTTTTTTTAAGATTTATTTGAAAGAATTACAGAGAGGCAGGGAAAGAGGGAGGGGGGGAGAGAGAGAGAGAGAGAGGTAGGTAGGTAGGTAGGTAGGTCTTCCATCTGCTGGTTCACTCCCCAAATGGCCACAAACAGCCGGAGCTGCGCCGATCCAGAGCCAGGAGCCAGGAGCTTCTTCCGGGTCTCCCATGCAGGTGCAGAGGGCAAGGACTTGGTCCATCTTCTACTGCTTTCCCAGGCCATAACAGAGAGCTGGATTGGAAGTGGAGCAGCTGGGATTCGAACCAGCACCCATAGGGGATGTGGGCACTGCAGGTGGCAGGCAGCTCCACCCACTGCACCACAGCGCCGGCCCCCAAAGTCCTGTCAAAGCGACAGCTGCACATGCAGCCGGGGAGGCGCCTGGCGCCCGAGTCTGGGTTCTGAGGCTGCCCAGGAGTCTGGGAGGGTTCCACGAGAGCCGCAGGCGCGGAACAGAGTCGCCTCCTGCTACTGCCGGCCGCTTCTTCTTTTCTTCTCTTTTTAAACACTTTATTTGGAAATAACGGCAGCTCTCGGGAAGCCACACACACCGTAGGTTCCTGTGTGCTCCCCCCAGGGTCGCAGGGCCACAGCTCCCGCAGGTGGAGGACAACAGCTGGACTTTTGAAGGGCGGGGTCACTTCGCGATTCTCGGTTGCGCCTGTGCCACCACAGCGCGGCCAGAGCCACTCCTGCTGACCGAGCCCCTTGGGGAGCTTCATCCAGGTCCCCTCCGTGAGGAGGGCAGCGGCCACCCCCCCAGGGAGGGGACCAGCTCTAGGTGCAAGCGAACAAGTGAAACAGCCCGCAGTGGGCCGGCACAGCCGCCCCGCCAGGCCTGCTCTGGAAGGCGTGGGGTCTGGAATCCAGGGTTGGCGTGGTGTTTCTCACAAGCGCTGTGCACATTGCGTTTCTGGAGAGCTGAGGTGCGGGGCTGGGGCTGGGGGCTTTGTCACAGTGTTGGTCGCTGGGTCGCAGCCTCGGGACCCGCGACAGCCGCCCGGGACAGGGATCTGGTAGCTCCAGTGGGTGCCAAGCCACGCGCAGCCATGGAAACGGCCCCACGAAACCTCCGTCTCCACCGGAAGCACGCTTTTTTTCCTCCAACAGTTTTCTGTTAAATAAAAGAAACAAAACCGCGGCTGTTTACAGAAACCGCTCTGTGGATTGAGAGGTGCGCTGGCCGGTGGCCAAGGGGACAGGGTGGGGGCCTGGCCCGAGCCCCGCCCCCTGCCCAGGAGGGGCTGCTGTTCTCGCTTGGTGCATGTGTGTGTACGTGCGTGTGTTGTGTGCGCATTGTGTGTGTGTCTACAGTGTGCTTAGTTAACGATTGCCAAAATATTTAGAGTCACTTCCCGCTGGTCAGCCAGACGTGGCCTGGTGTGGCGTGGCTTGTGTTTCTTAAATGGCCTTCGGTTCAGCTGCACCCACCCCCACCCCCACCCGTACCACCGAGAGACTGAAGGGGATCCCTGGCGTGGGTCGCGCGGACGGCTCACTCTTCCGTTTGTCTCCTGGGTGACTGCCGGCTGCTGGCCCCCGGTCTCCGCGCTGGCGGGTCCCCTGCCACGGCTCCACGCCGGAGCGCACGGCTGGCGCTGTTCTGAGTAAGTTCTCTGTGACTCGGCTGAGCCTCTCCTCCAAGACAGCGCCCCGTCTCGCGTCTTGCGTCTTGTACGTGTGCCCTCGCGCCTCCTTAACAATAAACGTTGTATTTCCTCAGTGTCGTGTATTTCACGTGCTTCTTCCCCTTCCCAGGGAGCTTAACCCCCCCCCCCCCCGGTGGCCGGTGGCCAGCAGGTCCCTGCCTCCCCGCACCTGTCCCCCACTGCCTCCTTCCTGCTCTGTGCCCTTGGCCTTGCAGAGCCTGCTCAGCGCTTCCCGCCCTGCGCGATGGAGAACTTTCACTGGTGCCCACCCTGGTCTTTCTCTGGAAACCAAAGGGGCGCGGGGCGCGGGCTCTGCAGGGCGGGGCTGGCCCCCTGCGCCAGCGCTGTGGCTTCCTCCCAGCGCGCAGCTGGGGACGGAGACACTATGGTGAAAGTTGCCCATCCCGCCTCCCACCTGCACTGTCCTCTAACCTGGGGTTTTTCTTTCTCTTTCTTTCTGTGTTGTAGATCCCTAAACGTGGTGCCCGCGAGTCACAGCCTCGGGTGAGCCTTCTCGGAGGGACGGCGGGGTCTCTCCGTCCCCCCAGGCCCCAGCGCCCGCGCCAGTCTCCACCCACAGCCGCCTGCCGCCCCCTCCTCCTCTCTCCACAGCGCCGCCCCTGGGGCCTCGGCTGTGTCCCTCTGGGGGGCCCCAGTCCACCCTGGGCTTGCCCCGGCCCACCCCCACCCCTTGCATTTCACACTGTGCCTTTTGTGGGAACCCCGCCGCTGGTCTCCTGGGGACGAGGGGGGCTGGACGCACACGGGGGCGGAGTAGCCCAGGCCGGCTGTTTACGTTAGCAAACTTACCCTCCCCCACGCCTGGTGAGTATCCCGCCCTCCTCTGGGCCTGGGCTCCCGCTGGGCGCTTGGTGCTGGCCCTCTGGCCCTGTTCCGGCCCGGAGCACCTGCGTGGGCGCTGGGCGTGAAGCCCTGGTTCAGAGGCCCGGGAGCGGCCGCACTGGACATCGCGGTCCAGCTCCCGGCGACCTGCTTCCTGGCTGGTCTGCCTCTCCCAGGAGCATCCGGCCTGCTCGCCCCCACCAGGCATGGTCTCCCCGTTGCAAAGTGAGGTTCCTCCTCCAGCGAGCCCCAGTGCCAGCATCCTGGGGCTTCGGCAAGGGCACCTCCGTGTGACCCCGTGGCCACCACTCCTGCATCCCACCCCCACCCCACCCCGGGCCCTGTAGAATTAGGGGGGCCGCTTCCCTTCCCCTGTGGGTCTTTGGCGGGGTCCCTGGCCCTGCTGCAGGGGGCTTCTCCCCTGCTGGGGGCAGAACTGGCCAGAGGAGCCCCCCCACACACACACACCCCGCACTGGAAGCCGAGGGTGGGGCCGGCATCTTCATTCTTCTGTTTGTCCTTGTAACCGTGGCGACCATGGCTGCCTCCCGCGCCCTGAGTCTAAGACTTCGCGGAGCTGACGGGGCAGGAGCAGCGCCCACAGCGCCCGGGGAGACAGGAGGAAGTGGCTTTGGGTTTCAGCAGTGAGCCTGCGGGCGCTGAAACTGCGGAGAGACCTCAGGGCTTCTTCCGGGGCCCTGCCGTGGCGGCCTCGCTGTGTCACGTGCAGCAGTCACTCGCGAGGCCAAACCCACACCGGCAGGTCTGAGGGTGACGGCCAAGGCCCGGCTGCTGTCCCTGCGGAGCAGCAGGTGCACGGCGACCACGCTGCTGCCGGCAGCGCCACGAAGGGCTCCGCCCCCCCCCCCCCCCCACACACACCAGGGATGCTGAGTGGGTCCTGGAAGCTTCGGCACTGCACGGCGTGCGTGCACCTCATCTCGAGGGCCGGGACCGACACAGCCCTCGGCCGCCGCCGCCGCTCGTCCTGCCCGTCGGTCAGACCGGTGCAGCGTAGCCTGTGCCCTCTCCTGGCCCCAGGCCGCCTTTGGTTCATTCGCTTCGGGTCATCTGGACCCCACCCTCCAAAAAAGCGAGCGGGTCTCTGGCGCTGGCTCGTGGCTGGGGGGGAGGGGGCCGAGCCCCTGGGCTGGGCGTAGGACGGTGGAGATGCAGCGCTCGCTCCGGGAATCCTACTGTGAACTCTGCCCAGGAGCGGCTCACGCAGCCCAGGCGCGTGGGGCTCCCCGTGACCACCTCCCTCCTCCGTGTACCTGCCGCCTGTCTGTCCGCCCGTCGTCCCCAGCGCTGTGAGAATGACGACCTTGAAAGGAACCTGCCCTGGGACTGAGCTGAACACAAGACGAAGGGGAGGACTTGTGCCCGGTTTTTCCTTTGCAGGATGAGAAAAAAAAAATTTTTTTTCCAAGGCATGGGAAGCTGTGATGGGATCCTCCAGTGGTTCTCAGCTGGGCTCACCCTGGACAGGAGCCCGTGGCTGCTGGGACTCGCGTGGCGCAGAGCCCCCGACGCTTTGGGGAACATCTGGGACGATGAAGTTTACACAACATAGAGGTTATGTTCCTACTAAGTATTTTTCCAGAAAGTTCCGTCTGGCTTGCCTCCTATGCTTAGGTCATCTAAAAACTGTCTAAAAAAAGACCCAGAATTCCATGTTAACCTGTGTTGAGCACCTTCGGACGCCTGTGTGTGTCGGGGGCGGCCCCACTGGCCCACTCCCACTGTCGTTGGAGGCGGAGGAAACCAGTACAGTGCTTCCCAGGGGGCCGCTGCCGACTGTGTGTTAATCCACGTGTTCAATAAAAGATAACGTCTGTCCTAGGATCCCGGGACTGCTGTGTTGCATGGACATGACCTGGGCTGGGGGCTGGTTCCGGTCTGCACCACTGCTGACGGGCTGGGTAAACACAAGGCCCCTGACGTCATCTGCTTGGGGCGGGGGCTGGAGACCCCCTGGCTCCAGGTGCCACCCCCTCCTGTGAGGTGAGATCCTCTCTGGTTCAGCCCCAGGGTTCCAGAGGCTTTCTAACGCTGGTCTTCAGTTTTATTTGAAAGGCAGAGGAGGAGCGGAGAGAGAGTAGGAGACGCGGAGGAGGACTCCCCCGCCCGTGGGCTCATTCATTGCCCAGTGGCTGCGGCAGCCGGGGCCGGGGACTCGGTTCAGGTCTCCCCGTGGGTGGCAGGGGCGAGCGGCGGCCCGCTGCGTCCCACCGTGCGGTGCCCGCTCAGCTGGTGGCCCCTCCCTGGTGACCCGCTCGGGTTCCGTGGTGGCGGCTTGGCCGGGGTCTCGGGCCCCCTGCGCGGGCTTGAGCCCACACTTCTGTTCCCTAGGGGTTTTCAGAGCCGCTAGCAGCTACACCAGGCAGGGGCGGGCCAGCCCTGCGGGAGCCGAGTGCCGGTCACCACGCTGGCCGGGGCCGGGGGCGTCCCTGCACCAGCACTTGTCCCCGTCTCCAAGGCCAGGCTCCCGGCCGGGGCTGTGGCCCCCGGCGCTGGGCGGATGGCCCAAGGGGGCGAGGCTTCCCGTGCAGGCAGGCGCGGCCGAACTGTTCCCGCCGCAGGCTCTTAGCAAGCCTCTCCCAGCCTGCGGGGGAGCTCCTAGGTCGGTCGCGGACGCCGGCCCCTGGGTCGGGACCGCTCCTCTCTGGGCACTGGGGAAAACCTGGCGCCCGGGCTTCGGAACGGAAGCACATCCCTGACTCCGAGTGGGGGTCAGCGCGGACGGCCGCGCCCGAGCCCGGCGGCCGCTCCGCGGAGGCGGTGGCGACCCCTGGCGGACGCGGGAGGCAGTGCAGGGGGGGAGCCAGAGCGTCCCCGACAGGTGCCCGGGCGTGGACGCGAGCGGGCAGGGGCAGGGGTGCGGCGCGCCCCCTCCTGCTCTGCTAAAGCCAGAGATCTGAAATTGTGACATCCACGGGCAGGCCGGGTCTCGCAGGAGGAGGCTGGTGACCGACAGCCCTCCCCACGGCAGCGCGGGTGCCCTGGGTGGGGAATTCGCGTGTCAAGGCCGCCCCCGGGCAGGGGCTGGCCCCAGCCCAGCAGCTCCCTCGGGTTCCCGGCGTCACCTGGCCCAGACCTCTACTGCCCTCTCTCAGGCCCCCAGCGGTGCCATTTCCGGTGCGCCCAGCCCCCTCCCGACCGCGAAGAAGGGAAGAGCCCGCGAGGCCTCGGCGCCAGGCAGCACCGCGCTCCAGGGTCGATTGCGTCGATCGCTCGCGCTGGGTTAGAACAGACGCAGGAAGCTGCGCTGGGGCGGCCGCATCCTGCACAGGCATCTTGTGAATTTTTTTGGAGAAGCCAGAGAAAGAGGAGTGTGCCAGTCTACTCATTCACCCCCCCTGCCCGGGCCGGGCCGGGCCGAAGCCCAGCACCAGAAACTGAATCCAGTCTCCCCTGGGGGAGCAGGAGCCCCCTGGCTGCCCCCAGAGGCTGGGGTCTGGAGCTGGAGCCAGGGCTCGAACCCCGGGCCTCTGATGTGGGCCCTGGACGCAGGACCACAGGCGGCACCCTGCCCTCCAGAGGCGCTGCTGGAGCCCCCCCCCCCATCTCAGACAACCATGCTGGGGCCCCTCCCTCGCCCAGCCTCGGCCTGTGCGGGCCTCCCCCGTGACGGACGCTGCGGCAGTGAGCGCAGACGGCGGTGCGGGCCGTGGGAACGCATCTGTGTTTATTGTACAGCCTGGGCGCAGACTGGCCGCGGGGCGACCCCAGGCTCCCAGCGCTCCAACACGGGAAACGCTGGCGGGGCCCTTCGAGCAACGCCACCTGCTGGCCGGGGAAGGAACAGGCCCTGGGAAGGACGCCCCCCCCACCCCCGCCCCACTGGGGGCTCAGGGCTTCTCCAACTGCCTGGGGGCGCTTCCACGGAGAAGGCCACGGCGGGCTGGGGGGCTTGGTCTCAGGACCCCTCCTCCTGACCCGTCCTCGCCGGCTCCCCCAGGACAGGCCACAGCGGGCTGAGGGGCTTGGTCTCAGGACCCATCCTCGCCGGCTCCCCCAGGACACGGCTCCCCCAGGACACGGCTCCCCCAGGACACGGCTCCCGGCAGGCTTGGCCGAGCGCGCGAGGGCAGCAGGTGACGACACGTTGAGGTATTTCTGCTTGTCATTGGTGCCCTGGGGGCGGGGCCGGGCCGGCTCTCCCAGGAGCGGGGCAAGTCGCAGGGCAGGCTCAGCAGGACCGGGGAGGGCGTCCCCACCGTGGGAGGTCCAACCCACGCCCCCTTCACGTCCAAGCTCTGTCTGCAGGACAGAGACCCTGGGAGCAGCCGGCCTCTGGGGTCTTCCTGGAGACACCGAGATGCAGGGGTGAGCGAGGCCGCAGGGGCAGGCACAGGGAGCCCTGCCCACCTGCGGCTTCCGGCGCCTCGGCTCCCCGCGTCGCCCCGTGCACAGCGGAAGACGTCTGCAGGCTCCATCCCGGCCCCAGGCTCTGACTCGGGGGCGGCGTCAGGTGCCAGGGACAAAGGCTGGGCCCGATCTAGCGAGAGGCAGGTCGGGGGACACAAGGCTGCCTGGGACTGGTGTCAAATGAAGGTCACAGAGTCCTGGTCGCTTAAACAAGCCTGCAGGGAGTCTATTTCCTGGCCTCGCACGGTGAAGCAGAGCCCTGGCCGCGGCGCCCTCCCGGCACGCGGGCAGACGCGGCCTGCGGGAACACCGGGCGCTCAGCCGGGGCCGCACGCGGATCCTGCCGAGCAGCCTGGTGGGAGGCGAGCTCGGGGACACGAGAGGGTGTCGGGAGAGGGAGGGGCCCGGCAGGGTGACCTAGGGGCGGCCCGCCGCGTCACACAGCGCGCGTCTCGGCCTCGATCTTCTGCTCCCCGTGTAGGCCGTCCGGGTCCTGGGGCTGCGCCGCGCTCTGCCGGATGGCGACCTCGGGGCCACCTCCGTACAGGCTGTTGAGGTAGGTCCAGGTCTCCTCCGAGATCTGCCCATAGTCAGCCCCTGCAGGGCGGGAGAGGCAGGCCTGGGCGGGGGCCGGGGGCTCAGGAGGGCGGGAGGCCCAGCACGGGCTCAAGTGCAGCACGGTCACATGGAGGCCACAGGCCCGGCCAGAGAAGCCCAAGCACCGTCTGCAGCTGCGGCCCCTTGCTGCCCGCGGGCGGGGCTGGCACACAGGCCAGGCCGGGCCGGCAGAGGGCGCAGGAGGTAGGTGGGGGAGAGAGCTGAGGCCCAGAGGACCTGCTTGGGACCCTGCTCCCAGACGGGGTGGGGGGGCGTGGAGGGGTAGGAGAACAAGGCCAGGCACCGGGGGGCCGTGGGCGGAGTGGGGTGGGTTAGGACGGGTCTGGGCAGCGGAGCTGTGGGGTAGGGGGATGGGGCAGGGCAGCAGGGGGCTGGGGGCAGGGTGGGGTGGGGTAGGAGGGGCAGGGCAGTGGGGGGCCATGGGTAGGGTGGGGTAGGAGGGGCAGGGCAGCGGGGGGCATGGGTGGGGTGGGGTGGGGTAGAACACAGCGCCGGCCGTGGGCGTACCCTGCTTCAGCTGCACGTGGCCGCCTCCTTTGGTCTGCGCGATCCTGCTGTTGTCGATGGGCCCGGGGGGCTCTGGAAGAGACGGCTCAGGCTCAGCGCCTCCAGGCCCCGCCCCCCGCCCCCCCCACCAGGCGGCGGAGCCCCTCCAGGGAGCCCCTCCAGGGAGCCCCTCCAGGGAGGCTCCGCACCGCACTCAGCGGGGGCGCCCTCAGAGCCAGCTAGAACCACGGCAGGTTTGGGACTCCAGCATGGGGGGCGGAGCCGGCCGGGCAGGCAGTGCCCTCCCCGGGCAGGCAGCGGCCCCAGCCCAGGCCCCTCCCCAAGCGCCTCGGTCTCATTTAACCCCAGCAGCCACGGGAGACGAGGGCTGTGTGCAGAGACAGACTGTGGGCTCGGCAAGTGTCCGGCTCGGGTCGCGGCTGGAGAAGGCCAAGGCCAGCACCTACACCTGGGCCGGGCTCGGGACTCTGGCCGTCGGCTCCCAACCACGGCACACCCGCCCACCCGGCGGAGCCGGCAAAGCTGCCCACTCCGACCAGCGGGCCCAGGCGGCAGTGGGGGCCCGCCCCTTCCTGAGGACAAGCGCCCTGAGCATGGGACCCACTGGCTCTGCCGAGCCTGCCAGGCCACGCTCTGGCGAGGACGACCACGTCCAGGCCGGAGCTCGGCCCTGCTGCTCCTACTGGGACCTCCGGGGATGTTCCCGCCTCTGCGGCTCCCAGGGGTCAGAGCCGGCGCCCAAGCCCCGCCCTCCCCCTCTCTGTGGTTCTAGCAGCTCAGATCTACGGCCCGGGCTGCTGCGGAGTGGGCACAGGAGGGTGGCCGCAGGGGACGGGGGCGGGGGGAGGGCGCCCAGCCTCCCCTGCAGGGACAGCACAGACCCCGCCCAGCCTCCCCTGCAGGGACAGCACAGACCCCGCCCAGCTCAGCTGCAGGGACAGCGCAGGCCCCGCCCAGCCTCCCCTGCAGGGACAGCACAGACCCCGCCCAGCCTCCCCTGCAGGGACAGCACAGACCCCGCCCAGCCTCCCCTGCAGGGACAGCACAGGCCCCACCCAGCCTCCCCTGCAGGGACAGCACAGGCCCCACCCAGCCTCCCCTGCAGGGACAGCGCAGGCCCCGCCCAGCCTCCCCTGCAGGGACAGCGCAGGCCCCGCCCAGCCTCCCCTGCAGGGACAGTGCAGGCCCCACCCAGCTCAGCTGCAGGGACAGCACAGACCCCGCCCAGCCTCCCCTGCAGAGACAGCACAGACCCCGCCCAGCCTCCCCTGCAGGGACAGCACAGGCCCCGCCCAGCTCAGCTGCAGGGACAGCACAGGCCCCGCCCAGCCTCCCCTGCAGGGACAGCACAGGCCCCGCCCAGCTCGGCTGCACTCACCGCTGTCCTTGCCCTTGACGAAGGCCTCCCACTCCCGGAACCACTGCATGCTGATGCAGTAGATGCCGCCGGGCGCCTCCTCGGCCTGGAACGCCTTGTTGAGCTGGGTGGGCGGGAGCGCAGGCTCAACCCCCAGTCACCCCGTCTCTGCCTGGCACCAGAGACCACTGGGCGCAGGCTCAGCCCCCACCCTCAGCCCCCAGTCACCCCGTCTCTGCCTGCCACCAGAGACCACTGGGCGCAGGCTCAGCCCCCACCCTCAGCCCCGAGTCACCCCGTCTCTGCCTGGCACCAGAGACCACTGGGCGCAGGCTCAGCCCCCACCCTCAGCCCCGAGTCACCTCGTCTGCCTGGCACCAGAGACCACTGGGGACATCTTGCGAGCCTCTCCCTGCAACTGCTTTTCCACTAAGCAGGACCCCGCGGTGGGCACTGCTTCCCTCTTATAGACCGCGTCTGGGCATGCCACTCGCTGGTCTTCTGAGCGCACCCTTCGTGATGGCCACGGAGCAGAGCCCTTGCTCCTTTTACCAGGCCCCCACAGCTCGGAGACGGGCAGCACAGCCCCGCCCACACCCCCTCGCAGGACCCAGCTCGGAGTCCCGCCTCCCAGCTTGCTTGTTCACTTATGGGGACCCCGGGCCCTGTCTGGGGGCCGCTGTGGCTGTCACACTCAGGAGGCAGAGGCCAGGGAGGGCCGGGCTGCTCAGGGGCCCAGCATCCCGCTCTGCCCCCAGCCCGCCCGCACCTTGATGAAGGTGTCGATCTCGACCCTCCTGCGCTTGGCCAGCGCCTCGATCTCCACCTGGCAGATGGAGCACACGTACAGGTGGTTCACGGCGGGGCCACCTCCAAACCTGCACAAGGGGCGGGGGCGGGGAGAGAGACGAGCCCTGACGGGGAGGCCGGGGCGGGGGGAGGGGGCGTGGGGTCCCGGCAGTGTCCCCTCTCCCACCCCCCTCCGCTGCCCAGAGGCCGGCCGGCCTGGAAGGCTCCTCACCTGTTGTACAGGTGCTCCCAGACGTTCTGGGGCAGGATGACGACCAGGTCGTCGATGTAGTGGTACTTGTTGGGCGGGATGCCTGCAGAGGGGTCAGGCAGGGCAGGCTGGGGGCTCAGCCCGCCCGCCCCGCCCACGCCCTCCCACAGAGGGCGCCTCACCTCCGTGGGAGCAGAGGAAGGTGTGGTTGGTGATGGGCCCTGGCTCCGCAAAGGTGTTGAACTTGTTCAGCCACTCCCGGGACACGTAGAAGCGCAGCAGGCTGGGCTCCCGCATGGCGGCCAGCGCCACCACCTGCTGCCGCTCCCGGACAGCCTCCTCACTGCTCTTCCTGGGGCGGGGCGGGGCGGGGCGGGGCGGGGCCGGGAGGGACAAGGAAGCAGCTGAGCCCGGGCTCCCTGCTGAGGGGGGCGCGTGCAGGGCACCGGGAGCCCACGTATCCACGCAGCCATCTCTGCACGCCACGCAGGCCTCACCGCCGTCCCACCGGGACCACCGCACTCTCATCCCAGGAATCCTGGGCGGGGCCCGTGGCGGGGCCCGAATCCTACTCTCCTGGCTTAGCTCCATCCAGCCCTTCCCGCGCCCGGCCAGCGCCCGAGCCCGCCCACCTGTAGAAGAGGACGTAGGCCTCGGCATTCTGCACCACCGTCTCGTGGACCTCGGTGACGTACTGGTCGTCGAACTCGTACCACTGCCCGTTGATGACATTCTGGCAGTAGGCGATGTAGTGCCCGCCTGGGGGGGACAGCAGCTACAGGGCCCGGGGTGGGGGACAGCAGGCTACAGGGCCCGGGGTGGGGGACAGCAGCTACAGGGCCCGGGGTGGGGGACAGCAGGCTACAGGGCCCGGGGTGGGGGACAGCAGCTACAGGGCCCGGGGTGGGGGACAGCAGGTACAGGGCCCGGGGTGGGGGACAGCAGGCTACAGGGCCTGGGGAGTGCTCGCCTCGGGGTGGGGGGGACAGCAGGCTACAGGACCCAGGGGGTGCCCGCCTGGGGGGAGGGGACAACAGGCTACAGACCCCGGAGAGGGGGGAAACAGGAGGCTACAGGACCCCGGGGGTGCCTGCCTGGTGGGGGGAAGCAGGCTACAGGACCCCGGGGGTGCCCACTTCGGGGGGACAGCAGGCTGCAGGACCCTGAGGTGCCTGCCTGGGGGGGGAGCAGGCTACAGGACCCCGGGGACGGGCACGGCGGGGGAGAGGCTGCGCGGGCCAGCGACCAGACTCACTGCCGGCCGTGCCGTGGTGGCAGATGACGGACAGGAGGTCGTAGGTGGTGATCTGCGAGGTGCACTCCTTGGCCAGGAAGGGGCGCAGGTCGAGGCCCTCGAGGGGGAAGGAGACGTGGCTGCTGATCTTGAACGAGTACATCACCTCGTGCCGGAAGCGCTTCAGGTGGATGCACAGGACCTGGGGGCGGGGTCAGGAAGGCTGCCCAAGGGAGCCAGGCCGCGGCTGGGGCCCGCCCGCAGGGGTCACCCACGGTTCCATCCAGGGGCTCTGGCCGGGCCCTCCAGGAAGCTCTCACTGGCCTGCCTGGCACTGACTTCCCTGCAAGGCTTCCCCAACCCCACTGAGCACTCAGCCCCGCGTGGGCGTGGCCACGCCTCCTGTGCTGGGGTCCTGCCTGCCCGGCACATCCGCAGGAAGGCTTTGCTAACACCTGTCCGGGCCTCGGCCTCCTCCCCACTGGGCTGTCCGCAGGGGCCCAGCTGACTCTCTCGAGGCCTCACGACCCCACGCCTGCTCAGGGGCCTCAGAAACGCGTGACAAATAAGCGGAGCCCACGCAGAGACCACTGAGCGCCGGGGGGGCTTTCACTGAGGCGGGGGCTCCGGGGGCTCCCTCAGCGCCGAGGGCACCCGATGTCACGCTGGCGTGGACAAGGAGCCTCCCACTCACCTCGGGCAGCCGGAGGACTTTGCAGTACTTCACTCCGTTCCGCAGCCTAGGGGGAGGGGCGCGAGGGGGTTGGTGTCCCGTGGGAGACGGAGGGGTCACCTCGGGAGGTCAGGGGGCAGGCGCACTTACTTCTTACACCGCTCACAGCTGTACATGTTGTCACCTGGCGTGGGAAGACCAAAGGCCGACGGTGAGCAGGACAGGGAGTGGCGTAAACACTGGGTGTGATAACTCCTGAGCACTGCAGGCCGTGGCCAGACCCCAGACAGACCAGGAAAACGAAAAGCAGACCTAGGATACACTTGACCCTGGAAACACCTGGACTCCAGTATGGATTTCATCAAAAACAAGGTGAAACCAAGGGGTGAGGGGCTGGGGTGGGCAGGGGCAGCCCTGTGGCACAGCGGGTCAAGCTGTCACTTGAGACGCCGGCATCCCCCATCAGAGCACTGGTTCAAGTCCCAGCCGCTCCCTGCGCTGCACCTGGGAACAGGAGAGGACGGCCCAAGCACTTGGGCCCCACCACCCACATGGGAGACCCGGATGGAGTTCCAGGCTTCTGGCTTTGGCCTGGCCCAACCTCAGCCATTGCAGCCATTTGGGGAGTGAACCAGATGGAAGACCTCCCTCCCTCCCTCCCTCTCTCTCTGTCTGTAACTCTGCCTTTCAAATAAATAATCTTAAAAAAAAAATGAAGCAACCCAAGGGGCAGCCTTCGGTGGACGAGCAAGAAGGGTGGTCCAGCCACAGCACGGATACAGGGGGCAGAAGGGGCGGAGACACTTGCTGCAACGTGGAGGCGCCCGGGGGACGCTGTACCCAGTGCAGTCAGCCGGCCACAGAAAAGGCAAGCATTGTGCAACCTCACTTCCACGAGGTCCCTAGCGCGGTCAGACAGGGCAGGAGGGGGCCAGCCGGGGGGGCCGGGATGGGCAGCTGTCTCTGCGGACAGGGTTTCAGCTCTGCAAGACACCGTGTTATGGAGAGGGACGCGGGGGTGCCCAGCAGCTGGGTTTGTGAAACGGTTAAAGGCGGGTGCAGTGTTCACTTGTACGTTATGTGTATTCTACCGCAACTGAAACCCCAAAGGAAAATGGTGTGCGGGAGGTCAAGCGTTTCTGAAGGTTAGCGAGGTGATCATCAGCCAGGAAACAGGCGGGCGGGACACACGTCGCCAATGCGCTAATGACAGCCAACCTCATCAACCGTCAAGGAAATGGACATCAAAGCACAGTATCGCTTTTGCCTACCAAACCAGTGAAAAAACAAGATGTGTCAACACCAAGGGTCACAAGGTGGAAGGGTTGGGAGAAGACTCAATCCAGGCCTAGGCTGGCAAGTGGCCGGGTGGGAACTCAACGGGTCCCACTTCTGAAGCCCAGCCCAGCCACACCTGTGAGCCGGGGCTACACCCTGGTGGCCCGAGGCATGGGTGCTGGGGGTCCCCTGCCAGCCAGGCCACTCACCCTTTAGCTCGTCAGCAGCGAAAAAGGCAGCGAGGCAGTCCTCCAGGGTGACGACGGGCCCCCAGAACCAGCTGGGGGTGCAGGACACCACGAACCTGCAGAGGCGGGTCATGACCATGTCACCAGGGCCTGGGCCAGACCCAGATGCTGGCTGAGGTCCGCCCAGGCCTCAGCCCCAGGAGGAGCCTGAAATCCCAGAGCAGGGGAGGGGGATGCGGCCAGCCTCCTGGAGGCAGACACCACGGCATCCTTGGGCGAGTAGCAGCTCCTCTCCCTGAGCCTCGCCTCCGTCCTCCGCGAAGGGGCCGGGGCACACGGCTCCTCCAGCCGGCCACTGTGTCCCTGGCATCAGGCGGGAGGGCTCCGGAGAGCTGACACTCTCCCTGTTGGCTCGGCCTGCGCCCCGGCTGCGCCCCCGCTCTAGCTGCTACTTGGTCACTCCCCTCAGGACTGTCCATCCAGGCTATCCCATAGTGCCCAAGAAACAGCCCCTCACACCACCGTTTAGCAAACTCCTGGGCCTCTGCGACCCCAGCTCCCTGCCCAGCTTGCCCTGGCCCTGCAGTGCCCGCGCGTCACTGTGTGAAGGCCGTCCTCGGCCAGGAGAGGGGGATGGGCCCCGCTCCTGTCGCAGTGGGCGGGGGTGGGCGCACCGTCGGATGTACTCCACGATGAAGGCCAGCCAGCCCTGAGCGGCGTAGCTGTCCCCGCAGGCGCCCGGCTTGGCCGGCACGTTCTGGTAGATGGCCGAGTGCAGCTTGGCCAGGTCCTCCTTGCCAGGAATGGGCAGTGACAGGTCCTGGAACGTCTCCACCGTGGTGGACACCTGTGGGGTTGAAGGCAGCCTGACGCCCACCCAGCCCCAGCCCCAGTTGGCAGGAGGGGCAGAGGGCCCGATCTCCAGACAGGGCACACAGGAGCCCCCCAGACAGACAGGCAGTCACCCCCAGGTCAGGGGGCCACTGGCAGCCCGGCCCTCCGTGTTCCTGGGCACCTACCCGGTCACAGGTGAGACACTGCACAAGGCTGAGGATGGAGCCATCAAAGATGTCGGAGATGACACTCCGGTAGTGCTGCTCCTTCCGCCTCCGGCTGCCGGCGCTCGGCACCTGGGCTGGGGGCACAGCACAGGGCCAGCTCCAGCCCCCACCTGCCCTGCTGGGGCGAGGCGCAGGCCCGGGCTCTCTCAGCCAGGATGTGGGGTGGAATCTACAACTTGTGACTGGGCACGCGACACCTCCTTATGCCTCAGTGTCGCTGTGTGTAAAATGGGCCCCCTCTGCCCGGGTCCCAGGGGTGCTGCGGGAGGACACAGCCCAGCCCCCGGGTGCTGCCCCCCGCTGGCCTGCGAACCTTTCTTGAGCACATACGACGGCCCCACCCTCACGGGGCTCGCCCGAGGAGGGCTGCTGGGCAGCTTGCCGTGGCCCCCGTGGCGGTGGGTGGGGCTGCAGGGGCGAGAGGAGCTGCGCATGTGGGCGTCGTTGTCCGGCTCTGGGGGCAGACAGAGGAGGCCACGGTGGGTCAAGGCAGCCATCCGCCGGGCCAGGAGCCCCCGGCCAACCCCAGCGCCTGTGCGAAGAGGACCTGCGAGCAAGTCCTAACAGGACTGAGGCCTGAACCGCTGTCTCCCCTGCCCTGCGTCCACCACCCCTGTGGGCCCAGCGCACGCAGGGGAACAGACTTGTCCCTTCCATGTCCAGCTGAGGGCTCAGGCTCCAGGGCTGTGTCTGGCTCCAGCCTTATCGACTAAGCAGACCTGGACATGCTGTCTCGCCTCTGGAACCTACGGGGTGTGCCTAGCGGGGGGACCTGCTCCCCACTGTGGCACCGAGCAAACAGGGCTGAGCCTCATCCCAACAGCCCCGCGAAGCCCCAGCTGTCTCCCACCTGGCGTCCGGCAGGGGCTGGCGGAGCGCGGTGATGGTGGCTGGGTCTCGGTGGGCTGCTCGTCAAGGGTGGCCATGGCCGTGTCCACATCCGCGTCTTCGTCCACCTGCTCCGAGTTTGTGCGCTGCTGGCCCCAGGAGAACTTCCGGTCCTTCATCCGCTCCTTCTCAGAGATGGCACGGCCCGCCTCGTCTGGGATCAGCAGCTCCGTTTCGGCCTGCGAGCCGCCCCCGCCACGCCCCTGCCCGTCACCCTCACCCCGGTCGCTGCTTGAGTCACAGGACAGGAACTCGTCCTCTGACGGGCTCCGGTCGCCCTCCCGCTTCTCCTCGGTGTCGCTCGAGTCTGAGTCCCGAGCCTCCGTCAGCGCGGCCACGGCCGCCACGGCCGGCTCCTTGAGCTCCTCGTGCAGCTGGTCCATCAGGCAGCGCAGGAACTCCTGGGTGTCCTAGAACCAGGGCCTGCATCAGCGGCCTCCGGGGACGGGCACCGGGGACAGCTCTGTCCTCACCCTCACCCTCCTGAGGAGGGCAGAGGCTCAGAGGGGCTGAGGGCTCCTCCCAAGTCACAGAGCTGAGAAGTGGCAGAGCCCCCACGGGCGCATGCCCCGAACCGCTCACAACGCTTCATGGGGGGGGAGCATCGCACCCATTCAGCCACTGGTCACCTGCTACCTGACCGAGAGGCCAGTGGGGCGGGCAGGGGGATCGCAGAGGGAGGAAGCAGCAGGCACTGAAGGTGGGGGCTCAGCGAGGACCCACAGTGAGCAGGCCAGGCCGGATAGCCCCCACACGCCCTCACCCGCCTGCCTGCACCAGGGCACGCCTGTGGCGTGAGCCCCTTTCCTACAGACCTGGGCACAACACAGACTAAGCTGCCACTGGTCCCAGGTGAAGGCAGGCTCCACTCTGACCACTGTGACCGGGTTGCAAGCCTGGCGGAAGCAGGGGCCCTGGCCCTGCCCTGGGAGGTCACAAGGTGGCAGCAGCGGCCAAGGCTGATGGCTGGGGTGCTTGGGGTGTTCTTCCTGGAGAACCTGGGCTGGGGCCAAGCCAAGCTCCCCAGGCGTCCAGGCAGGCGTCTGCAGAGGAGCTGGCCTCCTGGACCCCCACGCAGGGCAGGTCCCTCAGGCAGAGCCCGGCACTCTGAGGGTGGAACCTGGGGCTTGCTGGGCAAGTGGAAACACCCAGAGGCCACGTTCACTCCTTGTGTTTTGCTTGTAACACAAGTGCTGTGTCCCCTGGCAGATCCTCGGTCGGCTCGGCTGCACAGATGCGCCCTCCGCACCACGGCTGCTCCTGTCTCAGACTCAGAAGCGATCCAGGGGCCAGAGAAAGGGGTGCTGCTCCCGCACGCAGCTGCGCCACCCAGCAGTCATCCAGCCACGTGGCCGTGGCCTTGCCAGGCCCAGGGCCAGCAGGGTGCCTCATGCGGGGCGGGGAGGGGCGGCACCTGTGAGGACACACAGGGCCGCGCCAGGTGGGGGTGCGCGGGCGGTGCAGACTTCTCAGGCAGTAGCTGCTGCTGGGCCCTGAGGGTGTGCGCAGACGCGGCCAGCAGGGGGACGGTGCCTGCTGCCCCATCCGGGCCCACGTCCAGGCAGCACGGGAGGCAGGTGCGCAGGTCCAGCCCCTCCGGGCAGGACCAGCTGGGAACCCATTCAGCCACTGGTTACCTGCTACCTGTGCAAGGGGCGGGGACTGGACCACAGGACACAGCAGGGCCACACACGTGACCACTCTAGGCTATGTCTTGGTCTTAGGATTTTCATTCAACAGAGATATGGTTGATTTCAAAGGTGTTCTCCGGGTTGAAAGTAAGTTTAATCAAGTGTTTTTTTCATAATGAAGTCCCCCCTAGGTGCCACTGAGTGTAGTGCTGGAGGTGGGGACTCCATGTCCAGGTCGTGTGACCAGGCCAAAGGACTCGGCCCCCGGGCCTCAGTCTGCCCATCTGTACAGTGGGGTTTAACACCTGGGGGTCGCTGGGAGGCCCCCACGTATCCACACACATGAGGGGCTCAGGTAGTGAGGGCCTGGTCACGGGCCTGCCTGGCAATGCTGGGCTGCTGCCACCGCTGTCCACCCAGCCTGGCTTCCAAGTCAGGCCTGGCAGAGGAGGCCCCTCTGTGCCCTGGCAGCTTACCTGCTGGGCATAACCTCGGAACATCGGGTTGACCAACTTGATCCCGTGCGACAGGCTGGTGGGGACCACGTAGCTCGGCCTGAGGGCAGACACAGGCAGGCGGCAGAGCCGCTCAGACGCAGGCTGTCCTGAGAGCCCCAGGAGCCCTCACGCCTCCACGGTCGGGAGGGAGGCCAGGCGGCGGCTGCCCCAGCCAGGCCGAGAGAACAGACGGCACCTGCCCCCACGGGGCTGTGACAAGCCCACCGGAAGTCCCACTTCCCCTCTGGAACGGTTACTGTGCCTTTTCTCATTCCAGAGTAGCACGTGCTCATCACTGGACACCCAATTTCAGGTGAGTGCAGACCCGGAAGCAACACCAGCAAGGGCCCTCCCCAGGCAGGCACCACGGAGACCCCAGGGCCTTCTGGGAGAACACGTACACAGCACACTCGGGCAGAAGTGGCGACACACTGCCTCTGACGAGCTGCACCACATGGCACCGAACCTTCCACCCGGGAGCCGCCCAGCAGCCCCGGACCCTTCCCGGAGGAACCACCCACCCCACGCTCTGGGCCTTAAACCTGCAGCACACAGAGCCACTCCCGCGAGCACCCACTCGGCGGTTGCAGCCCAGACCTGGGACTGGTCCTGGAGGACCTCTCGGCCCCCGCAGATACCTGCCAACGGCCACCAGCTGGGACGGACACGAGCTTCAAATTCTGACTCACCTTCCACAGGCTGTGTGGCCTTGACCAGGAGCCTAAAGCTCTTTGCACCCCCGTTTCCCCACTTGCACACCAGGGATGGGCGCCCCCCAGGAGGTCCCCACTCACCGCTTCCTGTGCCAGACCTCAGAGACCAGCTTCTGGTAGCTTTTGCACAGAGCCGGCTTCTTGTCGGTTCGCACCAGGCCTCCACACTCCAAGAAGAACTGGGTCAGCGGAGGGCTGGGGGAGGGGGACATGGTGAGCCAGGCCACAAGAAGGGGCCCGTGGCATCGTTGACGAGGAGTGGGGTAGACGGGCGCAGCCGCTGGTGCTCAACCTGGCACACACGGTGGCCTCGTGGACCCTGACGCGGCTGCGGGAGACCCTGCCCGTCACAGGCTGGACTGGCGCTCCCGAAGCTCACAGACTGGGACCCCGGGGTGTGGCTGTGTGCGCACACAGGGTCTCACGGAGGGAGTCAGGTTAAAGGAGGCCCTTGTAAGAGGAAAGGGGACACACGTGTGCATGGAGGAAAGGGGACACACACAGAGACACCAGACACACGTGTGCACGGAGGAAAGGGGACACACACAGAGACACCAGACACACGTGTGCACGGAGGAAAGGGGACACACACAGAGACACCAGACACGCGTGTGCAGAGGAAAGGGGACACACACAGAGACACCAGACACGCGTGTGCACAGAGGAAAGGGGACACACACAGAGACACCAGACACGCGTGTGCACGGAGGAAAGGGGACACACACAGAGACACCAGACACGCGTGCGCACGGAGGAAAGGGGACACACACAGAGACACCAGACACGCGTGCGCACGGAGGAAAGGGGACACACACAGAGACACCAGACACGCGTGTGCACAGAGGAAAGGGGACACACACAGAGACACCAGACACGCGTGCGCACGGAGGAAAGGGGACACACACAGAGACACCAGACACGCGTGTGCACGGAGGAAAGGGGACACAGAGACACCAGACACGCGTGTGCACGGAGGAAAGGGGACACACACAGAGACACCAGACACGCGTGCGCACAGAGGAAAGGGGACACACACAGAGACACCAGACACGCGTGCGCACGGAGGAAAGGGGACACACACAGAGACACCAGACACGCGTGTGCAGAGGAAAGGGGACACACACAGAGACACCAGACACACGAGGGCACGGGGCGGGGAGGAGACGCTGCGAGGCCCGGCAGGCTCGGGGAGGGACCCCGACTTGCAGCCTCCAGGACCGGGGAGAGAACGTTTCTGTTGGTGTCGCCCAGCCTGTGGTCCTTTGTTATGGTGGCCCTGGGATCTCTCCCAGCAGGGGTCCTGCCAGGCCAGGGGACAGCCCTGTGACCAAGACCCACCAGCACCTGCTCCCCTATGGCCTAGCCTACAGAGACCTTCCTGCCCGCATGTTTTTAAAGTTGTCAGAAATTTAGTTTAGAAAAAACAGAACATATAGACAAGCAAGATGTCTTCTCTGAACACCCGGGCGCTCCTCCTTCCAGACTTTTCTACGCATTTCTACCCGTCCCCTCCCTCCCCTCTCCACATGGGACACGGAGTCCCTTCCAGGGATGGGCTCACGGGGTTGGCAACTTTATCCCCCCAACAGGAAACGCTGTCGCCCCCAGACAGGCAGCGCCACCTGCGGCTCTCTGACCCCGGCGCCACAGTCCCCAGGTTCTGAACACTTCCTGCTCCAAGAACCGCTGCTCCTGCAGCCCAGGCCAGCGCGCCACTGTGGACGCAGCCCCGTCATGAAGCCCCAGGACGGCAGGCAGCCCCGCCACACAAGCCTTCTCCCCGTCTCGGGGCCTCCTTGGGGTAAATTCCCACAAGACACCGCGGGGTCCAAGGGCACGTGTGTTTCTTAGGGATTCTGAGATACACATTGATGTCTGTGGACGACACGTGCAGCATGGCATGGGGGCCACTCCTCCACCCCCCACTGTCCCAGGCAAGGTGACCACCTACCAGTTGGACAGGGCCTGCAGGGCGGCGTTCATGTAGCAGGAGTTCCCAAGGTTTTTCATGCCTGTGAGGCCTGGGGGACAAACACAACAGAGGAGGGGAGGGCGCTGGCCTGTGGCCCTCAGCCCCCAGACCCAGCCAGAGGAGGACGGGCAGGGGTGCCCACCCAGAAATCTCCCAAGCATGTACAGGCGGCCCCTGCTCCCAACAGCTGTGGTTCCCTGAGTGGCTTAGGGAAACGGACGCCTGGCCTCTCCACCCCTCCAGGCCCACTGCCTGCACCACACATTCAGGGAGGCCCTGGTGCAGGGGGCTGAGAGGGGGAGAGAATGGCCAGGCCCCCCAGGCCCTCAGCTGGGCCAGCTGGCCCCCACGGGAAGTCACCACACCGTTCAGGTCACTGGTCCCCCCACGGCTGCCCGGTGCAGCAGACGGAGCCCCCGCGGGTGCCGGGCCCTGGAGGCCTCACCTCGGGGTTTCAGGTCGTCGTCCTCTGACTCGGATTCACCTTCATCAGCCACGGCTATGGGGACGGCTCTCAGCGGGTGGGAAGGCGGGGGAGAGTCCTGCGGCAAAGGCCCAGGGTGAGGAAACACAGGGATGGGGGCAGTGGGTAGGGGGCAGAGGCCCAGGAACTTCCGGGGGGCGGGCAGCCCAGCCCCACACCCCGAGCCTGGACAGAGCCCGCCAGCGCACAGGGCACTGCCGGGAGGGACGGACCTGGTGGCCCTGCCCTGGGAACTCCCTGACCTATAATTTTGAGCTGCAATAATGAATAACAAACTTACTTCATTCGTAACAAGTTTGGGAAAAAAGAAACAAAGAAACAACACAATCTCATTTCCTGTCCACGTGCACCTGCAGAGCCTATACTGCCAAGCACGTCTGTAACTAACAGAGTGGCACACGGTGCGTGCAAACACAGCCTTCTTGTAAAACTCATGAACACCTCGCAGCCACAGACCAACACAGTACCCGCTGGCCGCCTTTTTAAAAAGAGGACTGTTAGTTTTCATCTTCCAGGAAGGTAGAGTCATGCTACACACACACACACACACACACACACACAGGATCTTCCGTCTCTCAGTTTATCCCCAAATGCCTGCGACAGCCAGGGCTGGGACAGGCCAAAGCCAGGATCCCAGAATTCCATCTGTGTCTCCCAGGTGGGTGACGGGGACCCGAGCACCGGGGCCACACCTGCTGCTTCCCAGGACGCACTCTGATAGAGGATGCAGGCTTGACTCCAGCTTCCCCAGTGTCCATGTGGGCAGCCCCTGGCACAGCAGGGTTCCTGCCCCTGCCGAGGGCAGGCCCTCAGGGCTGGCAGGAACGCTCTCCTGGAGAAGCAGCCATGAGGACCACCTGTGGTTCCTTAGGGTGTGTTTTAGACCCGGAGCAGCCGGGGGCTGCCTGTGGCCTTGCTCAGCCCCCTCCATGGGGCAGGGAAGGGTCTACACGCAACCCACAGCCTGGGCCCATCCCAACCCCTGCCTTCCATGTGGACAGCCAGTCCTGCACACTCACTGCCTCACGGGGTCCTGGTGCGGAGCTGGGCTCAGCGAGCGTCTGCTGACAAGGTGCTAACCCAGGACCAGACTGCATGGGGGATGCACTGGTCCGTGCCCCACAGTGCTGACCCGACCTTCACAGTCCTCAGCAGCCAGACTGAGCCCTCCGCCCCCACTACCTGTTCAGAGAACGTGGGCGAGGATCCCCGTGGGGGGGCCGCCAGCCGCTGATCCAGGAACACCTCCTTCTCACAGGCGTAACACCACACCCGTAACGTGGTCAGGTTCACTGTCAAGTTGTGCTTTTTGGCCTAGGGGATAAGACCCAAAATGGAGTCAAGGATCCCCTGGCTGTACGGATGGCCCCAGCCTGCATCGGGGCTGCCTCCACCGCCCAGCCTCAGGAAGCCTCCAGGGAGGGGCTGTATGCCCAGCCTCAGGAAGCCTCCAGGGAGGGGCTGTGTGCTCAGCCTCAGGAAGCCTCCAGGGAGGGGCTGTGCGCCCAGCCGCTGCTCACCCTCCCGACAGGAACACCAAGGGCTGCAACCTGTCAGCCGGTGCATGTGCGCCAAGTACCCACACGCCCCTGGCTTCACTGCAGTCCCTCTCCTGTGAATATCCCCATTCTACAGCCCCAGCCACTGAGGCCCAGAGCAGGCAGATGGAGCTGGGAGGTGGCCAGAGCTGGGGTGTGAACCGCAGGCCGCCTGCCTGCAGAGCCCTGCTCTCAGCCACCACACCCACCTGTGCGTGAATGGTGCTGTGGTCAGCAAAGGACTCCCCGCAGCCAACGTAGGGGCAGGCGACCTGGGGAGAGGGGAGGGCAGCAGATGGCATCAACCCAGCAAGTCTCCGACCCCACCCCAAAGACGCCGCCCCTCTCCGCCCACCAAGACCTGCATGGGAGTGGGACCGTCACGCTGGGGGAACATGGTCTACACCTGCAGTTTGTGCTGGGCAGGGTGCCCTGGAAGACCACTCTCCCACGAGGAACCCAGGCAGGGTGCAGCTGCGGCCTGGCTGCTGGGATCCCAGACCTTCTCCCTCCACCAGAACCCTTTTTCTGATGAGCTAGTTATTGGGGCCAACATGTGTGGTGGGCAACCCTAGACTGCAGAACCATTTCTTTTCTTTTTTTTTTTTTTAAGATTTTATTTATTTGAAAGATAAATGTGACGCAGCAGGTTAAAGCTCTGGCTTGAAGCACCGGCATCCCATATGGGCGCCGGTTCAAGAGCCAGCTGCTCCACTTCTGATCCAGCTCTCTGCTGTGGCCTGGGAGAGCAGTGGAAGATGGCCCAAGTGCTTGGGCCCCTGCACCCACGTGGGAGACCCAGAAGAAGCTCCTGACTCCTGGCTTTGGATCAGCTCAGCTCTGGCTGTTGTGGTCATTTGGGAGTAAACAGTGGATAGAAGCCTTCTCTCTCTCTCTCTGCCTCTCCTTCTCTCTCTGTATAACTCTGACTTTCAAATAAATAAATAAATCTTTTATATATATAAAAAAAAAGAGTCGGGGAGAGAGATATTTTCCACCCACTGGTTCAGTCCCCAAAGAGCCGCGATGGCTGCAGCTGGGCCAGGCCAAAGCCAGGACACTAGAACTCCACCTGGGTCTCCCGCATGGGTGCAGGGCCCAAGTACTTGGGCCATCTTCCGCTGCTTTCCCAGGAGCATTAGCAGGGAGCTGGATGGGAGGTGGAGCAGCCGGGACTCACACCAGCACTCATATAAGGACGCCAGCGTCACAGGCAGCGGCTTAACTTGCTGAGTCACAACTCCGGCCTGGCACACGGGATGTGCAGTGAGTCCGGAATAAGCAGCGAGGTGGTGGGGGCCGTGGCGTACACGCCCCTGAGGACCCTGTCTGGGGCCTTGCACTTTCCCATCCCAGAGCTGCCCACCCTCCTCCCAGCTCCAGGGCCTCCCCTGCAGGCCTCTGCCCTTGGCAACCACAGCTGCCCATCACGCCCACCTGCCCGTCACACCCACCTGCCCGTCACACCCACCTGCCGTCAGCACAGGCAGGGGAGTCTCAGAACAGGCACCGTTTTCTGCATAAGGTTCCCACACCTGTCTCTGGAGGGGCTGTGGGGTCCCCCAAGGCAGGGCCAGGCCTCACATCCTGTGGTCCCCTGGGGGCCTGGACAGTGTCCCGCCTCGAAGTCTACTTCCCCCTGGCTGACAGGTCCGACGGGAGTAGCCATACTGGGTGCGTTCACCCCCGACCCCTGCGGGCCATCTCATTTATACCTGTGCTTTTTTTTTTTTTTTTTGGACAGGCTGAGTGGACAGTGAGAGAGAGTGAGTGAGAGAAAGGTCTTCCTTTTTCTGTTGGTTCACCCTTCAATGGCTGCTGCAGCCGGCACACCGCACTGATCCAAAGCCAGGAGCCAGGTGCTTCTCCTGGTCTCCCATGGGGTGCAGGGCCCAAGTACTTGGGCCATCCTCCACTGCACTCCCGGGCCACAGCAGAGAGCTGGCCTGGAAGAGGGGCAACCGGGACAGAATCCGGTGCCCGACCAGGACTAGAACCCGGTGTGCCAGTGCCGCAGGCGGAGGATTAGCCTAGTGAGCCCCGGCGCCGGCCTGTGCTGTTCTCTTGTCTAAAGAAATTTTAAGTAACGGCCATTGCTAGTGTGATTGTAAAATGAAACACATACTCGAGGTCCATTTGAAAAAGGCTACAGATGTACAAAGAAAAAAAATGACCTGTAATTCCACCACCCAGAGGAACCGTCAGCTTCCGACACGTCGGCTTTTACTCTTATTAACCGAGTCATCAAAGCACCACTGGGGCCCGGGGCCACACAGCCCATCACAGTACGGACCCCACGGGCGTGGCACAGGCCCCTCCTATGCAGGTGAGGGAACAAAGGCCGGGGAGGGGCAGGGCTCCAGGCCAGGCGCCGCCACCGCTCACTCGTGCACACAGAGACGGATCCTTCGGCGCGAGCCTTAGCCCACCTGCTCGCCTCTCTCTCGTCACTTTTACCACTGCCAGAGCGGCCGGCCAAGGACGCACTCACCCGTGGCCCTGTGCCCCTGCCCAGAGTTTCCGACGGTGCCCACGGGCGACACAGGAGCTACAGGGGGTTCCTTACCTGAAGACAGGCCCACAGGTTTGGTCCGGTGACACCACATGACTGGCAAGTTCCCTGGAGAGACAGAGTGGAGCGTGAGCGAGCGCGGGGACTCCGGTCCTGCCTGGAGGGCGTCGCACGCACGGCTCCACCCGCCTGAGGCTCACTCGCCCGCCGGGTCTCTGCAGCACCCCACCCACCCGAGCAAGCTTCCCCCGGGCACGGTACCTGTCACTGTTCAGATTCTTTTAATTTTTAAATTTTCAAGATTATTTATTTATTTGAAAGTCAGAGATAGAGAGGCAGAGACACAGAGAGAGGTCTTCCATCACAGGTTCACTCCCCAAGTGGTCACAATGGCTGGAGCTTTGCTCATCCAAAGCCCCGAGCCAGGAGCTTCCTCCTGGTCTCCCACGTGGGTGTAGGGCCCAAGGACTTGGGCCATCCTCTACTGCCTTCCCAGGCCACAGCAGAGAGCTGGATTGGAAGTGGAACAGCCAGGACTAGAACCGGCGCCCATATGGGATGCCGGCACGGCAAGTGGCAGCTTTATCCTCTACGCCACAGCACCGGCCCCCAGATTTTTTTTTAATCCTATGTCTGTAAAACATTTGAAATAAAATCATTTGAAATATAAACAAGCAGATCCCTCATAGACTCCCTCACCTTCCTCTCCACTCCTCTCCTCTCTCTGCCTTTTCCTCTCTATAACTTACTTACATATTTATTGGAAAATTATTTATTTGAGAGGCCGAGTTACAGAGAGGGAGACACAGGAACATTCCATTTGCTGGTTCACCCCTCAAGTGCCCACAGCGGTGAGGCTGGGCCAGGCCAAAGCCAGGAGCCTGGAACTCCAGCTGGTCTCCCACGTGGGTGCAGAGGCCCACGTACTTGGGCCATTTTCCACTGCCTTCCGAGGGCACTAGCAGGGAGCCGGATCGGGGGAGCAGCTGGGACTCGACCAGCGCTTAATGCGTCTCAGGCGGCGGCATAGCCAGCTCCTCCACCACGCCAGCCCCTCCACTCGCTTTCCTGCACTTCCTGAAGCCTCTCTCACCGTTCAGATCTGAGACACGTGGTCAGCCTGGGCTACACCTGTGAGGCCAGAGGACCTGGCACGTCCATCACCGTATCTGCTGACCACAGAAAGCACCCGGTTGCTGGTGGTCTGCTGACTGGGCCTCTCCTTGCCTACCCATATCTCTCTCCCCTTCTTGCTTTAATGACAGAACACGTGAGTCTTAACGAAGCTCACGGCCAGCCAGCTGCAGGCAACGTTGCCCAGCTCCCCTGTATCAGGGCTCGGGTCTCACCAAGGAGATGGCAGAGAGAGGGCTGCGTGCCACCTGAGCCGTGTGCCACCTCTGTGTGCCTCCTCTGAGCCGTGTGCCACCTCTGAGCCGTGTGCCATCTTTGCCCTTCTCTTTATTTTTTTATTTTTATTTTTTGACAGGCAGAGTGGACAGTGAGAGAGAGAGACAGAGAGAAAGGTCTTCCTTTGCCGTTGGTTCACCCTCCAATGGCCGCCACAGCCGGCGCGCTGTGGCCAGCGCACCGCGCTGATCCGAAGGCAGGAGCCAGGTGCTTCTCCTGGTCTCCCATGGGGTGCAGGGCCCAAGCACTTGGGCCATCCTCCACTGCACTCCCAGGCCACAGCAGAGAGCTGGCCTGGAAGAGGGGCAACCGGGACAGAATCCGGTGCCCTGACCGGGACTAGAACCCGGTGTGCCGGCACCGCTAGGTGGAGGATTAGCCTATTGAGCCGCGGCGCCGGCCTGCCCTTCTCTTACTATGTGCTGGAACGCAGATGTGATGGCTGGAGAGGAAGCAATCCCCTTGGAGTCAGACGAAAGCCACGTGTTGAGAAAGCAGAGCCCCATCTACTTCTGGCCAGTTCTGTGCGCACAGGGTCTCTGTTACCGCAGTTTCAACGGTGCCCTACATAGTTCTGTCTGTGCGTGTCTAGGACAGCCACTGCCAGCCGAGATCCTACAGCAACTGTGAGGTGGGCGCTGAGTGGGCTCTCGGCAGCAGCTGCGTGATCAGGCGCCGTCACAGGGAGAGCTGACACCTGCCGAGGCACTACGCCGAGCCGGGCATCCAGCGAGGCTTCGTACGCGGCCCCGGGAACTCTCGGCACCACCTGGGCAGCAGGCCCCACCAAAGCCTCCTCCTCACAGATGAGAACGGGGGCTCGGCGGCCTCCCTGTGCAACGGAGCAGCCTGGGCCCCCGAGCACCAAGGTCATCAAGCCTCCCCCGAGAAGGGCTGGGCGCCCTGCCCACCGCGGCCTCCACGGGAACTTCCCTCTCCCTCGGCCCGGACACAGTGCGGCCCCGCACTCCCCAGTGCACCTGTCCTGATGCGTTCAGTCACCTTCACTATAAACGCATCGTGTGCTCTCGCAGAAACTCAACGGTAAACACGAGGGGACTTCGAAAAGCTCGTGGGAAAGGAAGGAAGAAGATAAAATTGTATTGGGTTCCAAGAAACTGGAAGTCCAGGCCTAGCTTTCTCACGATGTGCACTCCCCACGTGAACACGCCGCGTGTGACCTCAGCAGGCCTAGTTCTCACAATGTAACTCCCCACGTGAACACACGTGTGTGACCTGAGCACACGGGGGCACCTGGGCTACGACACTGAAGCACGGCCATCCAGACACGCTCCGCACAAAGTAGATGAGATCCGGTCACACGACACAGCTTCCCGACACTACTGACCTATCTGTGGGCATCCACCTAAGACCAATCGGAGACCAGACCTCAGGCTCCAGGATGTCCGCGAGGTGTCCCACACCAGAAGCCATGGTGTCTGCATGGGTCCGCCATGGCAGACGTGTGACATGTGCAGTGTCCCACATGGCAGACACGTGATATGTACAGGGTCCCACACCAGACACGCGGTGTGCACACGGGGTCCCACACCAGACACGCGGCGTGCACACGGGGTCCCACACCAGACACGCGGCGTGCACACGGGGTCCCACACCAGACACGCGGCGTGCGCACGGGGTCTCGCACCAGACATTGTGATTTCTTCAGCCCTCCCCTGGCTGACTGCCCCAGCTCTGTTCCTGGGCTCATGGCTCGGTGAAGGCTCCGCCCCGAGGGCTGTAACCAGCGCATTCTCCGGCATGCATTTCCCTGGGTTGCAGGCTGCAGGGACCCCAGCCCTGCTACAGAGTGGTGGGCCAGGCGTCCCCACAGCACCGGGCTCTGAAGCTCTGAGCACACTAGGACTCCGCCTCTGCCCACGGAGAAAGGGTATCCGCCCTTTCTCAGGAGCCACGCCCCGACGACGGGGGCCACGCGTGTCCCCGTCCCTGTGAGCTCCCTGTGGCAGCCCTGCACTTTCTGACATGTTAGCACAGTGCTGGTTTGTTCTGTCCCTTTCAGGACACCACGGGCCTGCACTGGCCCTGCTCCAGGCACGGACACACCTCCGGGCTGCTGGCCCAGCAGGACGGGCCCACGCTGTACCTGCTCCCAGAGGTCCACCTCTCCCCCGCCCTCAGGGCCGCCCCCATCCCTGCCTGCAGGAAGAATCCTCTCTGCGCGTGAGCCCACACGCTTGTGCACTCAGAGAAGCCAGTCAGCGGGGCAAACATTCGCATCTGAGCCTCCCGCTGCCCCTTCTCACCACACACACGAAGCAAAGTCTCGCCGAGAGCAGCTACTCCCACGGCCAGCTCGGCCATCCGGGGCTCAACAGAGGACCTGGCAGGATGTCCAGGAATCGGACCCCATGTGTCCTGCACCCCGCCCTGCCCACATACACCTCACATTCTGTGAGACACGGCCTGTGTTGGTGGGAGGCTGCAGAGTCCACAGGGCCACTCAGCAAGGACCAGTCCCCGGGTCCACGCCGTGACTCACGATGCAAGGAGACGCAGATTGACCAGGCTGAAGAGGACGCCACGACCCACTGCTCTGGGACGAAGCAACCCCGGCACCCACTGTCCATGTGAGAAAGGGAAACATGAAACCTGAGGCCGCCTGCTTGTATTCACATACAGGAACCGGAAAGGCAGGAGGGAGGGCGTGCCCGGGGAGGGGCTTCCTGCCACCCACCTGCTCACAGTCCCTCCCTCTGAGCCACGCGAACAGCACAAGTGACATCGAAAGTGCGTGTCTTCCCTCTCAGAGGGGACGCCGCCCTCCCAGCCCCACGCCCTGCCCCACCCCCACCCCCAGGGCTCCGGGGGCAGCGCTCATTCCACCGCCCGGAGGCTGGCCCTGTGCGCCTGGCCAGCTGCTAATGGACTGACAGCATCAGTGGCTCCCAGGTGGCCCGGCTGAGACTGTAATTCACGGCTGCTAGGACACAGCCCCACTTCCACAGGAGGCCTCTGAACAGACGCCGGCGCTCCCGTTTACACAGAAGGCCGCGGAGGCCATGCCCCGGGCCCACAGGCCTGATCCGTTACCTTAGACTTGAGCAGCAGGTCCTCTTTGGTCACCTCCCCTATGGAGTCCAGGTGAGGGCAGAGTTCCCTGGAGTCCCCCATAGTGGCCCGGGCTCACCTACGAGAGGACACACGCGATTCAAGGTTACTGGCAGCCACTGCTGGTGGGAGCCGGGGAGGGCGGGGGAAGGAGTCCTGGCTCTGCACAGAGCAGTGGGGGACGCAGGGGGGACGCTGGACCTCCGAGCCTCACTCTCCATGACTGAGGATGTCAGAACCCGGCACAGGGCCACCCTAGGGCGAGCACTGGGCCAGCAGTGGGTGAGATGAGAGAATAACTGGTAGGGAGGACAAAGGCCCTGCCTGCGTTCAGGTTGCCACCTGCCAAAGAACCCACAACCGCTGCTCTTTCAGGAGGCCAAGTCCAGGGGCCCACCGCTGCCAAGTGCACGGGTGGGGAGGGGACAGCGTGGAGAGGCTGGGTGTCAAAAAGGCAAGTGGCAGAGGCTGCCTCCCGACCCTGGGAGCCAGCAGGACTGGCAGGGGCCTCCGTGAGGCCAAGTGCCCAGGCAGGGCCCTCACGTCCCGGAGAGCCCCACCTGCCGCCGCCTGAACACCCGATTCCGGGGCAGCCAGCGAGGCGGCACACCTCTGGAGGACGTGTCCCGGGAGCAGGGGGTCGTCAGGAAGCACAGCTCTGGGCGACAGGCTTCAAGCAAGGGCGGAGAAACAGCTTTGTCGGTTTGTGTAAGTGACACGCGTCCATCACAGAGAGATCAAAGTAAAACGGGGACACATCGCTGGTGACCTCGGGGCAAACGTCCACCCCGCACTCCTCTGCCGGTGGCCTTTTTCTCTTTTAGGTCAGATTTTAGAGATTTCAGCCTTGGGAAACGAACACTGCTTTTGTAGGCGCCTCCGGCGGGGCCAGAAGCCCCGTGTGGGGAGGGGGTCGGTCACACACACCAGGGGGCACCCACAGAGCTGGCGGGGTCTGGGAGAGCCCGTGGGTGGCACCAACGTCACTACTGACATCTCAGTGACGTGTCGCCGCGGGGTCAAAGGCACACAGAACCGACACCCTGGTGTATTGTTTACAACCTCCTGTGAATCTGTTTTTGTTTTTTTTTTTTTTTTGTTTTTTTTTGACAGGCAGAGTGGACAGTGAGAGAGAGACAGAGAGAAAGGTCTTCCTTTGCCGTTGGTTCACCCTCCAATGGCTGCCGCGGCCGGCGCACCGCGCTGATCCGATGGCAGGAGCCAGGTGCTTCTCCTGGTCTCCCATGGGGTGCAGGGCCCAAGCACTTGAGCCATCCTCCACTGCACTCCCTGGCCACAGCAGAGAGCTGGCCTGGAAGAGGGGCAACCGGGACAGAATCCGGCGCCCCGACCGGGACTAGAACCCAGTGTGCTGGCGCCGCAAGACGGAGGATTAGCCTAGTGAGCTGTGGCGCCGGCCTGTAATTATTTCAAAACACACTTAAAAATAACTGAGTAGTTTTTCCAGCTGCCTGGCGTCTTCAGCAGAACCAGACCCAGGAATCTGGCCGTTGATTAGCGCTCCACTCTGCTGCCAAGAAAGGCCCAAACCAGCCACAAAAGCAAATGGAGCCAAGAGCCATCCCGTCGAAGGCAGGGCTGTGTCGAGGACCCCAGGCCCCCATGGTCCCCCCGCCGTGGCCCACACTGCAGAGGCAGCTGGGGCATGACCGGCCCACACACCCGGACACCAGGCACTGACCAAGCTGGGCGTCAGCCCCGAGGCACGCTACCTGCTGCAACCTCCCATAGTGCCCAGCTCCACACTCCAGGGCACCAGCCCTTGTCTAGAGGCCTCACAGACAGGCACAGTCCGCTAACAGGAAACCCAAGTTAGCTGGGCTCACTGGCGCCCTTTTAACTCGCAGGGAATCTGAACGGGCAAAGATGGACACAGCTGCGACTCACCCCGGCTCCGCGCCTGGCCTCGTCCATGAATATCTACAGCCAGTCTTGTCTCTACCTCCGACTTCCTCTTGCCTTTTTTTAAGATTTTTTTTTTTATTTGAAAGGCAGAGTTACAGAGAGGTGGGGGGGGGCAGACATCTCCCTCCCTGGTCTGCACTCGAGGGGTGCACGTGGGAGCGGAGCTGGGGGCCTACCTCTGGGCGGAGCGAAGCCCACAGCAAGCGGCCAGCATTCACATTCTCCCAGGACAGCCGGCAGTGACGGGCTGCGGTGGTCTGGGGTGACAGGCGACCGTGGCCAAGGAACCTGGGGGACGAACCAGTGCGTTACAAGCAGGTCCTGTTATTCAAAAACCACTCTTACCACCAAAAGAAAGCTAAAAACAGCACAGAACTCCTCGCATCAGGGGCAGGTGAACTTCTCCATGGCTGGACGCTCTCCTTTCCACCCGCAGGCACAGTAAAACCCCACCACCCCTGGGACAGCTAAGAAGGCCTGGGCAGAGTTGGCACAGAGGCTCCGCCCCTCCTGGGTCCAGGAGCGCAGGGCCCTCCAGCGGTCACCACCAGGCATCACCTTTGAGATCCTTCAGACAGGAGACCTCGAACGGCATGCAGAGGGGGCCATGGGGCCTTCCTCAGGCTGCCACGGCCTGGCCGGGCCCTCTGGACAGGACGGCCGGGCCCCTCGGATCATCCTTAGAGCTCAGGGCCCCTGGCCCCCAGGTCATCAGTGAGCTCAGGCTATGGCACCACAGGGCTCATCGGCATGGCTGCAGCCCCCCTTGGCAGGCAGGGCAAAGAGGGAGAGGCAGTTAGAAGCTAACGTTTAAAAGAGTCACATGACAATGACAGGGTTCAAGGTTCTAAATTCCAGCCCTTCTTATGTGAACACTTGAAGACAGGTTTCTTGGTTTGCTTTTTTTTTTTTTTTATCCTTTCTGTGGAGGCCAAGGGCCCTGAGTTGGCATCAGTCCTATGCTATTTTAAGCTGCAGTGTGTGGTGTTCTTAGCATCTGTGGTATGTGCCCTGACTGCAGCTGGACGGTTGGCAACCGTGGAAGCCCGGTATGACCTTGGTACCTAGGACCAGGATGACGGCAACAGGCCCACTCTTTCTTGAAAAGTTTATTTATTTATTTGAAAGGCAGAGGCAAAGAGAGATCTTCCCCAAATGGCCACAACAGCCAGGGCTGGGCCAGGCCAAAGCCGGGAGCTTCATCCAGGTCTCCCCCGTGGGTGCAGGGTCAAAAGGAGTAGGGCCATCTTCTACTGCTTTCCCAGGCCATAGCAGAGAGCTGATCAGAAGAGGAGCAGCTGGGACTCGAACCGGTGCCCATATCTGATGCCAGCACTGCAGAGGTGGTGGCTTTACACGCTACGCCACAGCGCCAGCCCCTTAAAAATTCTTAATTCATGGGCCAACCAGAACAACCCTGTCCCGCTGCCTCAGTTTCCCAAGCTCTGTTCTGAATCACCAGGCTTCTCAGCTTCCAAACGCCAGCCGGGAACGCTGCCATTCCATATCCAACTGCACACAAATCACCAACAGCTTCAACAGCGTAAGCAGCAGGGAACACAAATCCAGTAAATAAACAAGGCCGTGTGCAGAGACCTAACAAGGACATTCTCTGCACCACTGTTAGTAAAAGGAGGGAAACTGGGTGTGCGTGAGCCCCAGCAGGCCACTGGGCAGACAACACCTGCTGCTGCACCATACAGGCAGCCACTAAGAACCGGGACGGGGGCTGGTGCTGTGGGCTAAACCTCCACCCACTGTCCTGGCTGCTCCTCTTCCCATCCGGCTCCCGCTGTGGCCTGGGAAAGCAGTAGAAGATGGCCCAAGGGCTTGGGTTCCTGTACCCACGTGGGAGACCCAGAGGAATCTCCTGGCTCCTGGCTTTGTATTGGCTCAGCTGTGGCCGTTGTAACCATTTGGGGAGTGAACCAGCAGATAGAAGACCTTCAGTCTCTCCCTCTTTCTGTCTGTAACTCTACCTCTTAAACAAATAAATGAAAAATCATAAAAAAAAAAAAAAAAAAAGAAAGAAAGAAAGAAACCGGGGCAGGAGCTTGGTGTGGTGGGAAAGACTCCACCTGGGCCGCCTGCACGTCTCCCGACAGTGCCCGAACTGCAGTCCTGCCTCTGTTCCCAGACCAGCTGCCTAGGGGCAGCAGGGCATGGCTCAAGCAGCTGGGCCCCTACTGCCCACATGGGAGACCTGGACTGAGTTCCCAGTCACTGCCCACATCGGTGGCAGGGACCCAGCTCTCTGAGCCATCGTGTGCTGCCTCCCAGGATGCATCAGGAAGAAGCAGGGATGGGCGGTGGAGCCAGGACTCGAGAACCAGGCACTCAGATAGGGGATGCAGGTGCCCAAAGTGGCAGCTTATTTTTTTTTTATAAATTAATATGATCTAGCACTTTTTAAAATTTTATTTTACAGGCAGAGTGGACAGTGAGAGAGTGAGAGTGAGAGAGAGAGAGAGAGAGAGAAAGGTCTTCCTTTTGCCGTTGGTTCACCCTCCAATGGCCGCCGCGGCTGGCGAGCTGCGGCCGGCACACCGCGCTGATCCGATGGCAGGAGCCAGGTGCTTCTCCTGGTCTCCCATGGGGTGCAGGGCCCAAGCACTTGGGCCATCCTCCACTGCACTCCCGGGCCACTGCACTCCCGGGCCACAGCAGAGAGCTGGACTGGAAGAGGGGCAACTGGGACAGAATCCGGCACCCCGACCGGGACTAGAACCCGGTGTGCCGGTGCCGCAAGGCGGAGGATTAGCCTGGTGAGCCGCGGCGCCGGCCCAAAGTGGCAGTTTAACAGCTTCACCCCATAGCTGCACCCACAGCAGGCTTGAAAAAGTCACTTGAAAGGCAGAGTAGCAGACCCAGGGGATGAGGGGGGACAGAGACACAGAGAGATCTTCCATCTGCTGGTTTATTCCCCAAATGCCTGTAATAGGCAGGGTTGGAAACTCCAACAGGGCCCCTACACGGGCGTCAAGGACTGAGAACCTGAGCCATTACCCGCTGCCTCCCAGGGTGTGCATTAGCAAAGTGTGGGATCGGAAGTGAAGGGAGCACGCGATCCCAGGCACTCCGACACGGGAGGCAGGCGTTCCAACAGGGGCTCAACCGCTACGCCACCACGCCCATTCCCACCCCAGCAGGCTTTTAACAGAAATGGTCGAGCTGATTATAGAGTGCATATGGAAACAAACAAACCAAGACTTAGCACAGTCAAAACATTTTTAAAAAGAACAAAGTTGGAGGACTTAGACCATCTGACTTCAAGACTCTAAAGCTACAATAAACAGCACCGAGTGGCGTCATCTCTTAGACTCCAGCATGAGACCTGAACACACGAGGACTTCAAAGTCAACAGAAAGGTGGAGTTAAGGGTAACGTTTTTATTTTAGTGCCCAAAAAAATCCCTCAAAAATCTGTAGTTGTCTTCATAGTACACATTTTCCATGAGGTTTCTGAAGCGCACTCATACACAGTCAAGTGACTTTCAACAGAGACGTTAGCATAATTCAATGGGCAAAAGATGGACTTTTCTTTTTTTTTCTTTTTCTTCTTTTTTTTTTTTTTTTTTTTTTTTACAGGCAGAGTGGACAGTGAGAGAGAGAGACAGAGAGAAAGGTCTTCCTTTTGCCATTGGTTCACCCTCCAATGGCCACCACGGCCGGCGCACTGCAGCCGGTGCACCGTGCTGATCCGAAGGCAGGAGCCAGGTACTCATCCTGGTCTCCCATGGGGTGCAGGGCCCAAGCACTTGGGCCATCCTCCACTGCACTCCCGGGCCACAGCAGAGAGCTGGCCTGGAACAGGGGCAACCGGAACAGAATCCGGCACCCCGACTGTGACTAGAACCCGGTGTGCCAGCGCCACAGGTGGAGGATTAGCCTAGTGAGCCGCGGCGCCGGCCAAGATGGACTTTTCAACAGTGGTGCTCAGATAACAACATCCATGTGGAAGAAACATGAACTAACCCCTACCCCGTGTCATACACAGGGATCGGGAGAAGCAGGCCTGTGTGCAGTGGGAAGCCAGCATCCCGGATAGGCGTGACCGGGAGTGCCAGCTCAAGTCCTGGCTCCCTAGCCTCCGACCCAGGATCCCGGGAATGCAGCTGGGAAGAAGTGGGTGAAGGCCCAAGTACTTGGATTCCTGATATCCTCATGGGACACCCCGGTGCAGTTTCTGGCTCCCGGCTTCAATCCGGCCCAGTCCCGGCCGTTGCAGGCATTTGGGGAGTGAACCAGGATGGAAGCTCTGTCTCTTTCCCCTTCTTTCCCTCCCTCTTTCTGTCACTCTGCCTTTCAAATAAAGTAAGTGTTAAAAAAAAAAAAATAATGGTCAATGAGCACATGAAAACACACTCGACATCATCGTCGTTAGAGAAACCCAAGGTAAACCCCGAGCTAACACCTCACACTCCCTAGATCAGAAACTGGAAGACAATTCCAAGTGTTGCTGAACTGATGGATTCTCATGTAGTCTGAGAGAGGGTTAAATGGTGTAAAAAGCTTTGGAAAGCAGTTTGGCAATCTCGTATAAAGCTAAACATCTGAGGGTACATCAAAGAGTTTGTGGGAAATGTGAAATCCAAACACAGAATCTTCATAATACATGTTTTTGATGAACTTTTAGAAGATCCCTAGAATGCACGGATTTCAATTTTTTGCACCAAAACAGGCTTTTTAAAAAAGATTTATTTAATTTATGTGAAATAAAGAGTTACAGAGAGGTAGGGGCAGAGAGAGGTCTTCCATCCGCTGGTTCACTCCCCAGATGGCCGCAACAGCAGGAGCTGCACCGATCCGAAGCCAGGAGCCAGGAGCTTCTTTTGGGTCTCCCACATGGGTGCAGGGGCCCAAGCCCTTGGGCCATCTTCTACTGCTATCCCAGGCCATGACAGAGAGCTGGATCGGAAGAGGAGCAGCCAGGACTGAACCAGCGCCCATATGGGTTGCTGGCACTTTGGGCCAGGGCTTTAACCCACTGCGCCATGGCGCTGGCCCCAATAGGCTTACCTTTAAACCCATTTTTCAGGAACCTGTTGAAACGTGCTCGTGCCCCTAGCATATGACCTTACAATTCCACTTGCAGGTAGACAGAGAGGAGACGCGAGAACGCCAGCGTCCACATCTCACACTTTCCACAGGAGCTTCAGGAAACAGAACACAGGCCCAGACAGGCCTCCCTGCGCACAGGACCTGGCCCTCCCTCCGTGGGCGGGCACTCAGGCCAGTCGCTCAGATTTCCCACTGATCCACACGGCACCAGACACAGCGTGTGTTATGGCCGTGCTCCCGAGAGAGAAGACTGAAACAGGAACGGAAGTCACAGGCCCACGTCACACAGAAGGGCCCCCATTGCTCCTCACTGGGGCCCCGCAAAGCCCTGGCGCCCAAAGGCGCTGGTTAAGTCAGGCACTCCGCAGGGCACTGACGCGGCAGTTCTGATTTTCAGGTGGCTCTAAGACCCCAGCCCCCCGCTTCAAGAGGGACGGCAGCCTCAGGACCCGTGCCGAGCCCCACGGCGCCCTGCCGCAGAGGCAGCTGGTCCTGCTGGACCCCGTCCCCGCCGCAAGTCCCACCTCCCCGTGCCTGCAAGAGCCCCTTCTCAGTGAAGCGGAGGGACTGTTCCAGAGAGCAAGACACGAAAAGGACTCTGGGGGTGGGTGTTGTGGTGCAGCCGGTCAAGCTGCTGCTTGGGACACCTGCCTCCCACATCCAAGTGCCGGTGGGAGGGCGCGAGTCCCAGCCACGCCCTCGCTTCTGATCCAGCTTCCTGCTCACACCCCCAGGGG